TTCTTTACTTTCTTTCTACGGTTGTTAATGTGTTTGGGCGTCCAGGACGAGCATCGTCATTCACATCTTCTCGACCATCTGTGAAAGGCCTGTACCACTTATAAACATTTTTCTGACTCAGAGTACAATCACCGTATGCCACTGAAAACATTTCAAGTGTTTTGAGCACTTAATTCCATTCTTTTACACGCTTTCTATTAGCTTCACTTGTATGAATGTTTGTTTGCTTGTAACTCCCAAGCTCTGGGTCTGTATTGACAGAATTATCNTGGTACATTGTGAAAACATGCCGAATTGTAATTATCGATAGGTGGACAGCTGAATAAAGATTCGATAGGTGTGAACACTATTTCATTGTAGTGTTCGTGAAAATAAAAAATTTACATTACTCATTTCATTGAATGCATCTTTCTATGTTTGTTGAATAAACAATAGATATCCTCATACACCCAATGCCAATGTTAATTTTCATTCAAAAATTATAATAAAAATACTTTGCTTTACTCTGAACTCATCACCTTTGCTGAACACGCGGTATTCTGTGTTCGTAGTAGTTTTTTCAACGAATAAGTTATGAAAAAACTATTCATTACAACATGATCCTGTGATAATTATCTTTTGAAACAAGTACAACTGCGATAGTGAATTGCATTTCCTATGTGTATATTCGTTTTCACACGAGGGTGTTTCTAAAAAAAATTATAGTTCCTGTACATCGTTCCTTAAGTGCTAAAGCACAGTAGAATAATATAACGAGTTGCCGGGGATCTTCAACCGCTCTTAGGATGAGATTCTCATCCAACGCGTTCAGTGCTGTAGTATCGAAGGATTCGACGGTTCCACGAACATCGGATTAGTTATAATAAACGGTCGAATATTGATATTGTGTTNTCGACGGTTCCACGAACATCGGATTAGTTATAATAAACGGTCGAATATTGATATTGTGTTCAGTTTATTCCCTGTTGTTATTATTGTTTTTAGTTTTTGTAGTTAGTTATTGTTATTTGTTTTATTATTAAGTGATTAGAAAATGGGAGATATCAAAAAGACATTATTATATGAGCGCACGCCAATGGTAAAAAAACGAAATTGGCCCCGCACTTCGTTTCGAGATCACCACAAACTTTGTGCATTTATGAATGAAAGTAGTGGGAGTGGACTTACTGGTTGATTTTACTGTGGCTGAAGCATGTAGATTTTCCAACTGTAGACTTTCAAAGTGACAAAGTGAAAATTATATTTTTATAAAGCGTGACAATTTTCATCATAAAAATTTAAAGCCTTCTCTAGACCTCCTAGGTCATATTATGCCACCAGTTTCTTAGACATTTTCTTGCATTGTGACTTCAACCGAAGAAAATGTTGAGGAAGTGAAAAAAATCATTGTGGAAAATTGTCGAATCACAACTAGAGAAGTTGCTGAGCCCTATCGAAATCAGAATCAGAATGGAAAATCATCAACAAAATAGTCCGAACTGTTCGGTTGATATTTTTATTTTTTCTTTAAGTTTCCTAATTTTGCTAGCTTGAAACTGATTTTTTTTCTCGAATGAAAAGAGCTGTGAGTTTTTTGCCAAATTGATAGTACTTATAGATATACATGATGAACCAACATCAAAAGAATCAGCCGATCAAGGCCAACTATTTTGTTGCTGGTTCTCGTAGTGTATTTGAGTATCCCCTGATGAGCAACAAATTTAAAACACTTTTCCTTTCCAGGAAAACCAGTTTCAAGATAGCAAGAACGAGGAAAATGAAAAAAAAATATCGAAATCGGCCAATCGGTTTCAACTATTTTGTTGCTGATACTCAAGGTGTATTTAAGTTTACTCTTGGTGAGCAACAAATTTAGAACATCTTTAATTCCAGGAAAAACCAGTTTCAAGATAGCAAGATCAGAAAAAATAAAAAAAAATTTAAAATGTTTCGCTATATCTAAGGTTTAGCGACTAACCAATNCGTTGGTAACGAACGATTTGAAAATTGTTCTCGTTTGAGGCCCCTAGCCTGCCTCACTATTTAGATATAATCAATCTTGTAGACAAAAAGTGTAAACGATCTCCTGTCATCCAAGAATTCTTCATATTTATTAGAAGGTATGCGGAACACTTCAAGAACCATGTTATCCATTACAAGTAATCCACAAGAAGCAAAATTAAGTCTAATTTTCCAAGACTTCTCTCGGTTATAAATTACTTTCAACTCAACATAGTGGAAATAGAAAAACAGAAAAATGCGAAGTGAAAGGAATGGGTTATGGGATCGTCACTGTGTGAACTATATTATAATACAAACATATTTCCCAATAATGACAAATTTAATGAGTTTTCCTACGTTTCCGGGTTTATTATTAGCCGAGGCCTGCCGATTTTTATACCTGACGTTTCATCTAATACTGCGGCAGGTACTATCAAAGCTATTTTAGTATTAAAATTCAAAATTTTATGATGAATGATGAATAAGGTTTGGACAAGTAAAACAAGTAACTCATCGTTACATGTTAAAATTGGGAAAGCAGGATTTGACACGACCAAAATATGTTGATGAAAGTTCAACAAAAGCTTACAAACTATTCATTCATTTCATTCTGTCCAGTGAATCAACTTAGCCTTTAATAATTTGCTGCCGATAAATTGAACATTGCGTTACCTGATACTTCAATGTGTTGCCAAGCAACTTTTTTTTTAAGCAATGACGGTTTTTTTCGACTTCTGAGCATTTCTCACTCCTCATGATATTTTGCCATACATATACTCAACTATTCAAATCATCTGAAGGAACAATTCGTTCAGGCCAGCCTCAACTCCCTACACTGTAGGTTACTGGACTGACACCTATCAGACAACTACTCCCCTGGCTAATACCACGAAGGGCGTTGGATTATATCCGACAAGTGTCAGTGCAGTATTATTCACTGAATTTTTTCCTGCTGTTGTTGTCGATACGATACAACTGCCGCAATATATTTTCAATTATTGGAACACACTTACATTACAGACCGGTTTCGGACTGTTTGGCCACTCATCAATGCAAGATGCTATCTATCATCAACATGAAGTCGATGATTTCCGATATTTGAAATCCAATTCCTTCAGAGTATCATGCCTCGAACTGAGCTGAAGCTTACAACAAACAATAGGTTTGTCGTCGACCCATCTGCCTGTGAACGAGGTAACCAACTGCATATCCGAAATTTGCCCAATTTCTCGTATAAGGAAAGAAAACTTTTCACATATAGTCAGTGGGCATATGTGAAACTTAACTTTTCTTCAACCAAACCTAGTAAATAAAGAGTATCATGTTATTTCTCAAAATTAGTTTTTCATACTATTCAAAACCTAGCTCGTTCAATATTCTGAGACAGCTGAATCCTAGTCGTGATTTGTTATCTACTAAAATGAAACTTGATTTGTGCGAATCGTTGGTGATTTCTAAATTATACTATTATGATAGTATATATGGTCCAGCATTTCTACAGGCTGATGCAGCTAGATTATAATTAATTCAANAATCTTTTTTCAAATTTCCAAAATTTTGAAAATTTTCCGAAATATTAAGAAAAAACTGAAGCCCCATTTTTTTGGTTCACTTAATTGTTTATAACTTTTGTAATTTTTATCGGCGCGTTTTCGAACCTTTCCTTAAACTTTCGAGGCAAAAATACGAATCAAATGACACCTTGGTCGTAATTTTTGGACAGGGCTGAAAAATATCACCAAAAAGAGCTAAATCGAGTACATGTGAACCAGACTAAGGTTACTGGACTGGCACCTATCAGACAACAACAACTCCCCTGGCTAATACCACGAAGGGCGTTGGATTATATCCGACAGGTGTCAGTGCAGGATTATTCACTGAATGTTTTCCTGCATATGCTGCCGCAATAGATTTTCAATTATTGGAACACACTTGCAGACCGGTTTCGGACTGTTTGGCCACTCATCAGTGCAAGATAGTGCCTATCATCAACATAAAGTCGATGATTTCCGATATTTGAAAACCAATTCGTTCAGAGTATCATGCCTCGAACTAAGCTGAAGCTTACAACAAACAACAGGTTTGTCGTCGGCCCATCTGCCTGTGAACGAGGTAACCAACTGCATATCCGAAATTTGCCCAATTTCTCGTATAAGGAAAGAAAACTTTTCACATATAGTCAGTGGGCATATGTGAAACTTAACTTTTCTTCAACCAAACCTAGTAAATGAAGAGTATCATGTTATTACTCAAAATTAGTTTTTCATACTATTCAAAAACCTAGCTCGTTCAACATTCCGAGACTGCTGTATCCTAGTCGTGATTTGTTATCTACTGAAATGAAACGTGAGTTGTGCGAATCGTTGGGGATTTCTAAATTATACTATTGTGATAGTATATATGGTCCAGCACTTCTACAGGCTGATGCAGCTAGATTAGAAAAAAATCAAAATTCCTGCTTACGTTTTTTTAGTATAAAATTAGTATGAAATTTGAAGAAACAGGATGGCTCAAATTATAAGGAAAACACAAGAAAATATAATATGCTAGTTATTCCCAAACACTCAAGTGTTGTTTTGCGTATTCAGCACCCAAATTTTATAACACTCTTCCCAAGAAGTTCTGGAACATCTTTTTTCAATAAAAAATTGAAAATTTTATTTCAGTCACTGTAGATTTGCTTTTATGACGGACCTGTAATCTCTGCGGCTTTTATCTGAGCTTTTGCTGAACGGGTTCCAACTCGGTGAGGTGACAGAGTTGTGATCAGTTAGCTTAAGTTTTTTTTAAATTTCATCTTAACCTACAGTTTAGTCACTTTTATTTTAAACTGTCAAATGGAATTTGTATTTCTCAATAGTTCAGTAAGAATCTTTACTGGTTTCTTTGTGTTGAGCAGATGTTCTTTTTGTTACTGCCATATATAATTATTTATAGTTTGACGAAATATGAATCATTATAATTGAACTATTAGGTTCATTTGTGTAATTACACAATATGGATCATTGTTAATTCTGAAGCATCTAGACCTAACAAAAACGTCTTGCACTCAGGATGGAGAGCACAAGTATGGCCCAAACTACCTCCGAACGGACATCGAAGTCACCGGAGAACAGATAGCGTCGGGCGTTCCTCTGCTCCAGGTCCGCCGAGGGAGCGAACCCAGTCTCAACCAACTTCCTGCTGGCCCTCCTGCTCCTGCGGAACACACGAAGCGATGGAGCGCTGCCCCTTTGATACTGGAACCTCCTAGTTCAGGGTACATCAGTCCGGACTGGATGGATGACTCCAAAGAAGAAGAAGAACCATGTTTCAGGAGAATCGCTAGGGATGGGAGCAATAGGCTGTCGATGCAGTTTTTGGGCGCCGACAGTGCAGGGTAAGTGAATTAAAAAAAACATCTTTGCAACTTCAATTGTAATATGTGTTCAGAAAATAACAAGAATTTTAATTTTTTTTATATATTTTCGTCTACATTAATTTTGTTGCCTTCAAAATAGTACCCACTAGATATTATGCACTTGTGCCGATGCTTCTTCCAATCCTCGAAACACGTCTCAAACTCGATCTGCAGCATTTTCAGCGAGGCATTTTAAATATCGTCCATGCTTGTGACGGCAGAGAGATTCTCTCTATTTTTGGAAATAGGAAAAAGTCACCCGGAGCCATGTCTGGCGAATAGGGGGGCTGGAGCATCATTACAATATTGTTTTTGGTCAAAAGTTCACGAACAACAATGTGAGCGGTGCATTATCATGATACAAAAGCCACGAATTGTTTTTACCTCAAACCTGGCTATTTCGAATTCCAAAGGCAACGGATAGCAATATTTTCCAGTATGAAATGTATGTGTATGAGTATGTACTGTCGTGTACTGTGTGTACTGTTTTTAGTAAATAAGTAGGTANAGCAGCTTGACTGCAAAATGAATTAATATTTTGTAAGCTTTTGTTGAACTTTCATCAACATATTTTGGTCAAGTGTCAAATCCTGCTGTTCCAGTTTATAGATCGATGTTAATGTGAGGACCTTTTCTTTAGAAGCATATCTGCATATTTCCTGTGACTTTATTCCAAATATGAGACTTTTTATGGTATAAACTCTGTTACTTCCACTGTCTGTCCCCATAATATGATATTATAGCAGATATGTGGGTATACAAGGGCGTAGTAAGATGTTATAAAATGTTGTAGTGCTTTAGTTTTAGTAGGGAAAGAATGATCTGTCAGTAATTTGCATATGTGGTCCAGTTGAGGTTCCAAGAAATTTTGAAGTCTATATGCGTTCCCAGAAATTTTGTCGATTTTGTGAAAGTATGTATCTATGTTTAGGTTGGGTTTGTTTTTTCTTTATTTAATATTAGACGATTAGCAAAACACCATTTTTTCATATGTTTATATACCTCTGAAATTTTCATTATGGCCTCTTCTTCGTTTTTACCGGATATTGCTGCCGACGTATCGTCATCTAATTTTATCGTTGTTCTTAGTAGATTTAGGTCGTTGATGAATAGTAAGAATATTAGTGGTGCCAATACCATAATGATTTTATTCTGTGTAAAAATTGAATGTTTTTCCACGTGTCATCTAAATAAACATAAAGTTTACGCGTAAAAAAACTCCGTGAATTGGAAATTTCGAAGAATGATACTTTTTACCAGTTTCATTGAATGTTTTTTTTTGGTTTAAGTATTTTATTTCATCTAAAATTCCAATTTGGTTATATTAATAAAGTAGAATGCTTATTATTATTAACGAAGTGAGAACTGCATGTGCATGTGAGATTATTTGTTTTCAATAACTCTATAGGAAAGACTTAAGTCACTAACAAGTTACCATCAATCTTCGATACGGCTTTTGCCATTCAAGTATAATATGAATAAAAAAGAGGTCCCAAAACTGTACTCTTCGAAACACCTGGAGTTCCTTTTATTTAAAAAAATAATTGGTACATTTTAACCTGTTTAATAAGTATCTTGAACCATTTTATCGTTGTCAACTTTTGAGTAATGAGTTTGTTTCATTTATTTGGAAAGGCAACTGCTGTTTGTTTATATCATCCTTAACTAACTTCCAGTTGAATATTGTTGATTGTAAAGCGCCCTATACACATGGGAATTGGGTTCGCCAAACTTGGTTCCCACGAACCATTTGTTCCCCTGTGGGTGGTGTTTGACGAACCAAGATCGCCACAATTTCTCACGAAATTGGCCTTCCATCGGGTTGGAAAACATTTATTCGGTTCACCGGCAGGGCGCACCAAGTTCCTCTGTGTGTGGAGGAGGGGAACCGTTTTTCGCCATTCTTCCCAGTGTTTGTGGTAATATGGCGCACAAAAACTTCAAGTCCTCCAAGTTTCTTCCACTAGCTGGGTAGCAAAGTGTAGAAACGAGGCGATTTTCGGCCAATATCGACTTTCTCATGTGAGTTGTTTTGATATGTAGGGTGTCAAAAGTTCCAATAAATAATTGAATTGAGTTGAGTTGAGACCACTTCTCTCTCACAGTGCTTGGTCCATTGCGATGTTTTTTTCTTTTTTCTTGTAAACCCCCAAATTCACATAATTAAACAATAAGAGCTGCCATCTTCGAAGAACTCATCCCAACTGCTGGAATGAAACTGGTGAAGTAGCGAACCGTTGTTCACATTCCCCCAATGTGTGTCGGAAGTGACGAACCAAGAACTTAGTTCGCGGAACCAAGTTCAGCGAACAAAGGTTCCTATGTGTGTAGGCTGCTTAATACTGTTTCTCAGGAACACATTGAAAAGTGAAACACCTCATTTGTGCACTATCTCAAGATTTTTTTGTTTTCAGCTATCGTTGGGCCGAAGCTGCTGAACGGGCGGTCACCTCCAGAAACCATTTAACCACCTCATTGCCAAGAGAAGCGAGACGGAAGGAACCCCTTGGACAAGCCAACAACTCAACGAGTCCTCTTCCATCTGCCGTTGATGTAGGGGAAGTTATCGTGATAAGGAATGAGCCCGGACCTCTTGGCATCCACGTAATTCCCGATTATGATACCTTGGGGAGGGAAAGGGGGCTACTTGTTAAAGGTATCGAGCCCGGAGGGAGAATCGACAGAGATGGAAGATTGGCGATTTACGATAGGGTCGTCGAAATCAATGGAGAGAATTTGATCAATATGCCCTTTCAAAGGTGAGATATTTTGATTGTTTCGTCATATGCAAACCATTGAACAAAAGTAATTTTTTTGTAGAGAAATTCTTCTACTGACCTTTCTGGTCAGTAGAATCTGAAAAAAATAATGTAATGGAGAACCCCTCTGCCAATAATTTCATATACTTCATTGCTAGATTATAAATCATCAAAAATTGCCTTCTGCTCACAATATTTTTCAATGTTTCAAATCTGAAAAAAATTATCTCAACCTTTTCCATCAAATGAGTTGCATAATAATGATAATTGAAGATATTCGTTGTTATCTACCCTTGGTATGTTATTAGCACAAATACATGAAAACAATGAAGCTATTCAATTCATTTCCCAGATATATCTGTTTATGAATGATCAGTTATTTTCTGTTCTGTCTGTTTGAAATCTGTTTTTCCGTTAATCAGCTGTCGCCCCCCATACGAAAGACAACTCTCAGAAGTTGAGAAACTTGTGCGAGCTAAGGACTAACGAGGTCTTACCTTTCAACGTGTGATTCCTAACATTCCTAAATTGAAAATTAAATATGGTTTCTTGAAATGTTCCCCATTGTGAAAATGTTAAATAATTTCCGCTTTATATACTAAACAAAATTTTAGATAATTATGATTAGTACTAAATTAAGATGTTGTGACAATATTAATCGAATACAAAAGAAGATGTATGCATCTCCACTCACAAGCAATTTTGGTGAAATTGGTTACACGTGTGAATCATAGTATTCGTGCCACGTGCCATTATAAGGATGTCTGCAGAATGCTGTATAATGTCCGCTGTAGATAGATCCACTGTGACTCGAAAGTGCATCTAGATTATAACGACAAGGAGTCACATTGTTCAATCCACCTAGAAGAAATTCGATGGCAACATTTAACTTGCCTCTAAATCTTTTAAATTATCTGCTTAGTTACTCATTTGAGGAATAAGTGACTCGATTTCAACAAGTTATTTCCGTATCACTTTTTCGTANTTACTTTGAAGCAGACAAAATAGAAATTGATGAAAATTTTTTGAGACATCGTATAAAGCTTTCGACAACCAAGTGTTGTCCATCTTCATACCTGGCTACACCGCAGTGATGAAGCCTATAGCCAGAAACACGTGTCTGCGGTTCAGCCCTTTTTTGAGTGTTATGTCCGCGAGTTTTTTTTTGTTTTAGATCAAACACACTCGTTAACATTTTTCAGTATACTGTTATAAATACTCTTACCACTGTCTAGTATTGGAAAATGTCTGCAACGTTTCTGGTTTCATGTATCAACTACTAATCAAAATTATATACTTCATGAATTACTCCTGAAATTTGAGTATTCTTCCTTTTCTGATACATATATTTAGTGACACATTGAAAAAGCATTTCTTTCGTCACCTCACACTTGTCGAAACACCTAACTTGTTTCGTTAACGTTGGTAACGAACGATTTGAAAATTGTTCTCGTTTGAGGCCCCTAGCCTGCCTCGCTATTTAGATATTATCAATCTTGTAGACAAAAAGTGTAAACGATCTCCTGTCATCCAAGAATTCTTTATATTTATTAAAAGGTATGAGGAACACTTCAAGTAACTGAATAAAAGTTACGTTGGAACAGCAAAACACAATTGTAAATCAGGCTGATTGGTACCACCAATTTTTATTGTAATTTACTAGGTGTTATCTCATTCATAACTTTCAGTAGAGCAAATAATCATTTTACAATTAAATAAAAGGTTAAACTAAAACCTCCGATGCAGAATAAATTCAAAGCAAGCACTTTTTCAATGCCCAGAAATGCAATACTCTTCTCGATGTGCGTTACTGCAACCAAGTTGGTAATTGAAAAAACTGTTAGTTTCGGATTTTTATTTTTGCAAATCTTAGCCATTTCTAACATTTTTTATCAGGATTTCAGGTGAATTCAGAATTGTTTTGGTTCTGCAATTATATTGTACATTCACTCAACTCCATGCACTCAACTTCCTAACAATTTCAAAAACTATTTATAGNACCTTCTAGAATGACCCTTACAAACTTTGTACTTATCTAACTATATATTCCTTAGAATGTGAAATTGGTTGTCAAAATTCAGTCTATTGTATTCCTTATCATTGGGAAAATTATTTCACTGGAAAAATTATTCCTATCAAGAAATGGATAAAATAAATTGTATGACATCCTGCATCTACTACATTGTCTGTAAAATCATTTTCTGGATATCCTGGATATCCTACTATCGCCGATGCATTTTAAGATTCACCAAGAAGGCGGGCCCGTTTTTAATTTTTCTTGTTTGGTTATCACGATTTTGTTTTTGACACAGCTGAAAAAAACCTACTTCTCGTCTATTTTCTGGTCTTTCAGATCATTGACATTTATCCTTCCATACTTGAATTGGTTCGAGTTCTATAATGAAGTGTAGTTGCATTGGACCTGGCACTGTTCCGTAATCAGTATCAGCCTTTGTGTGTGTTTTCTTTTTTTTTGGTTGCCTGCAATTGGTTGCTAAGTTGTAATATAACGGAATCAGATTACATTCTTGAAACCTTAAGGACACCTTATTTCAATTATCTATCTGAGTGTGAGAGTTGTATTCAAAGAAAAAATCGTCAAATTTTCAAAAGTTTGAATTATCTCAATATTTAACTGAAATATGGACACTGTTTTAATTACTTGTGATGCACTGTTTGGAACCTTTGTCGTAGTAATGAATATCACTGGAGTTTTATCCCAACAACTGTTATTTTAACACCTTGACATATGATCTTCCTCTTGAAGATGATCATTTGGTGATCGAAACACGTGTCGAGGTGTTGAAATAACGGTTTGAAAGATCAGTTCCTCTCGAGGAAGATCAAACTGATCTTTCTCTTGAAGATGATCACTTGGTGATCGAAACATGTGTCGAGGTGTTAAAATAATGGTATGGTGTTGGGAAAAACTCCAGTAATATTCTTTACAGTTTTAATTATCAAGAAAAACTCACCTGTGTGCAGGTAGGAGTTCGATGATCAACCAGAAAAACAAAAAAACTCTCAGTTTAATAAGATATTGGTAGTCACCACATGTCAAGAAATTATTATCTTTCAGTAAAGGAGACATATTTTGGCCTGCAAAACGGTAAGATTAAGTATACATGCAATGCTTAGCTTATGTAACTGAGTTTCAGTAAGGATATGTTCCAGATATGTAGGTATTATCCTGTACAACCAAGACAAAATAAACGTAATAAGAGAAGTATTATTTTTTACGTTTCAGTTGTTGAGTTTCATTTTCGATTCCTAGACAGATAAGGTGTGGTGCTTTTTGCTAATTCTTTTAAGCTGATAATTGGTATATTTTTGGCTACCGTATTAGTGAATCATAGATAACAAAGATCACTTGGAAAAAACGAGTAGTTCATTTTTTGCCAAAAAACTCAATTTTGTCCCCGTTTATATTGAGCAACCACCAAATGAAGCGATGGCGAGATCACTGCCATTATAATTAGTAGTAAAGTAATAACTTTACTCTTAAATGTTTGACAAATAATAACTGTATGTAAGGAGACAATGAAACCGCTTCTTGAAAACAAAATAACTGATGGATGGACTATAAAATGAAGGAATTTATGTTGAAAAATTGCAATTGAAAATTTTCATAAAATGGAGTTGATTGAATCTATATCAGTAAATTCATTTCAGGGTTCAAGAGTTGTTCAAACTTTCTCTTACTTCACCAGAATTAAGACTGAAAGTTATCAAAACCTCAGGACTAGAAGGACTTCGAAAACCTCCAGCTCCTATTTATCCTTCTTATCCCGAAGATAAGGAAAACGTGTCCATGGTCGAGTGTGAACAGAAACGTAAGTTCGATTCATTACATTTTTCTTTTTTCTTGTTCATTCTAATATACAAAAAAAATGTATTTATGTCTTGTTCCTCTCTTCATGTAACCCAGAAAATACAGATAATTGAACCTAATTCATCAATTTTGACTTATTATTCATTTCATTTCTTGTTAAATTAACTATGTGTGATAAGGATTGAGAAATTCCTATTAGCAATCTTCATGGTTTGTAACACTGTTTTATTTTATTTCTGACAGAAAGTACAAACACTAAGGTAGCTACAGTATCTCCAACCAAAAAAGTTCCAGCAGTTTCAAAAAATCTGAAGGGTTTGCTCACAGCCAACACAAGAAAAATAGGACGCAAAATTGAAATAGAGCTCACAAAAGGACCCCACGGGCTCGGATTCAGTATAACAACCAGAGATAATCCAGCTGGCGGAAAATGCCCCATTTATATTAAAAACATAAATGCAATGGTGAGTGAAGATAATCAAAACCTGAATGAAAAGTATTACATTCTATTTTTAAGAAGTCTAGGTGACTTGACTAATTCAGCATACTTCCAATATGATTGCATTATTCTCATTCAAGTAAAATAATGAAGCACGTTTACATTGGTGGCATCATTTAAATTGTCTTGGAGTTCCAATCTCAATATATTTTTTATGACAGATAATTTGAATAGTGAAGTCTAAGTGAGGTGCTTCAAGTTATTCCCAAAACTCTTTCTCCTCTTCCTGAAAGTGACTTGTCACTTAATCTTTTCATCATTATTCTTTTTGGTTTTAATGATGTGGTCTACGATATATTAGAATATTTACTTTCAAAATATTTTTACCTCCAAAACATCAATTAATGTGGGTCAATTGTTTGGCTTCCATACTTGAGATTGAAGAGTAATATTATCCACATTATATTTTAGGGTCCTGCTATAGAAGATGGGCGACTCAAAATAGGCGACAGACTTTTAGAAGTAAATAATGTTGAGATGACTGGTAAAACGCAGAGTGAGGCAGTCGCGTTACTCAAAAGTTTGCCCTTGGGAAGTAAAGTAAAAATAGTTGTATCAAGGCAAGAAGACGTTATTGATCCTCCACTTCCTNTTTTGTTTTTTTACAGATTATTTCAGATATTTCAAACCAATTTTTTTCGTAGTACCAAATAGTGATCTGTAGTGTAGAAATTATTTTAATTTTTCTTGATTCTCCTATAAGAAAGTTTTTCAAGATCAATTGCTTCCAAATGTTACAACGTAATATATATTTTCTGTATATAGGGTGTTCCAAAATTACTGCTTGAGTATGAAAATTTGTTGTGAAATTTAAAGAATTTCAGTTCTTAAAAATATTTCTCAAGCAGGTGATACATCCTGTATATTCAACCCTGTAATCTGATATACAATATATGTTTATAATTCACAGCCTTCCGATCAAATAGACGAAAGTATGGTATTTCCTTGGAAACATCGTGAAATTTTAACCTTCAACATACCCGTTCATGATTCTGAAAAAGCTGGCTTGGGAATAAGCGTGAAAGGAAAAACTGCAATGATCAACTTCTCAATGTTAATGGAATTTCCTTACTTCAGCAAACCAACAGCGATGCCATGGAGACTTTAAAAAATGCCATACCACATACTGAAGGGCCTGTACCTGGACACATAACGCTCACAATAGCTAGAAGGGTTTCTTCGCCTGGAGTCACCAGTAAAAACCGTTCCAAGGATAGTGTTTTCAGTAATTCCAGCCAAGATTCACAAGAAAAAAATGATTCAGTGGATAATTCTGGAGCTAGTAGTGGGTCTGCGAATACTGTAATTTTTAATCCACAAGGCGGCATTTCAAATATTTCCGAGAAATCTTCAGATAATAGTCAATTAAGTCCAATGCAGACGTGGAATCCAGTATTAGAAAGGCTGACTGGCAGTAATAAACAGCAACAATTGAGAAATGAGAGCTACTACAAGGTGAGTTACAATGTAAAAATCAGTAATTTATCAAGGATTATATCAAGAGAGAGAGGCAACGAGATATGTTTATCCTCCAAAGAGAAAAGTCCTTTTAACAAAAGTTTTTAGTCTTGAGTTAAAATAATATAAGAGTAAACATTAAAACCTTATCTATACAAGGAATACTATATATTACAGCGAAACACAAGTAATATAACAAATCATAACTTTTTAAAAATTTGTCACATTCTAGAGATTACTACAAGTATATCTAGAGTGCACCAGGTATAAGTTGCCATCTAATTGGTCTTCAGCTGAGAGTTCAACTCTCTCTAAGTAATTTATTATCAAATCCATTCAGTCGAGGAATCGGCGAGTTTTTGAAGGTGCGGAAACTCACGAAAATCCGTTAGTTAGGGAAGCTATAGACTATGCTGTTGACGACCCCTACCGATACAGAAGGCCCTGACACTCTGTCGAATTAGGCCATCATGTCCCCCGTTAACGGACGAATAGCTTTTTCATCCATCCCACGCCAGCCAGGTAGGGGTATCCCGTGAAGGGCGGTACTCATATCTGAGGACTTCATACCGCCATCCCCTCAGTCATTAACCCATTTGTACTTCTTTGACAAAAATCAGCCGATAGGGTAAGGGAGCTGGGCTTCAACCTGAACAAAACCAAGACGACATGCAAAAACAAATCATAAATATTTTCAGTCGTTGCTCCATTTTTTTTCAATATACATGCAAATTTGCGATCTCAAAGACTAACTTCTTTTAAGTTTCCAGTAGAAGGATATTGCCTTGCAATAAACAGCGAGCTCAATTGATTAAAAAGTATGCACACTTGATTATTATTCATGTTTGTATCCCTTTTCAAACCATATTGAAGAGTAAGTCCTGAAAGTATTGTGAGTTCAGAAACTGATTAGTCTTGAAAACAACTGCTACAGTTGTATCTGTTTTGAGAAAAAAAATTTGTATGCACTCATTTGCTAGAGTTATAATACAGAGATACTTGATCCTTGGAGTACATCAACAGACAAAGAACCAGAAAAAAATCCATCACATTTGACTTATTGACAAGCAGTAATGAACACAATGATTCAAAACCTTTAAGAGCATGTCCATACCTATGTGGATTATGTAGGAGGATTTCATGATTATTACTGTCGAACGTCTTGGAAAAGTCGATAAATGACTCCAAAGCTGTTTTTCTATTATCCAGTGCTCTTGTAATCTCTTCAACGAGATCACACAATATTCTGTGATTTCATGTGCTGTGTGGTTTCATTTTTTACCTTTATTTAAAAAAAAACTATGCTGACAGTGTAAGAGTTGTCAATTATCCCTAAAAAATTTCAGCAGTTTTTTTTTCTGGACGATTGATTNACGAGTTTATTATACCTGAATGGGACTACTTTGAAAGGGACAAAATAGAAATTGATGAATAAATAAATAGTTTGTTAGAAAAATGAAAGTTCATCTTATTTTTTGAACAGTCCGCGTATGTTTTTATGTTACTACTAAAAACTTTGAACTAGTGGACACAGCTATCATAAGTAAGTATATAAAAATAATATCGATGCTCGTGCATGAATGTTTCTACTGAAATTTAATGATTGACTGCTCATAATTTCTTATGACTTACTTCCCAAGACTGGGTCCATGAATCTAATTTGAGTAAAATAGAATAATAGATGTTGGTTTTTCCATTATATATATTAAATTATAGATCTGACACTCAAATGCAAAAAAAAACAAATGACTAGAGTGCCAAGTTTCTAAACGATGATATATTTTCAGAATTAATGTACATATCACTAACAAAATGAGCAACAGTTTACCAGAAAACAGGAATGACAACTGTTTGGAACCTTTGGTGTAGTAATGAATATTACTGGAGTTTTTTCCCAGCATCAAATCGTTATTTTTTAACACCTCGACACAAACTCCAGTAATATTCATTTTTTCCAATATTTCCATTCGCGGTTGTTGAGTATAGCTGAGCCAGATAAATATGAGAATGAACCTACTAAACTGTTTTTTTTTTAATTTTATCTCATGTTAGTTCACTCAGCGACATAATTATTATTTTGGTAGATTTACTTTTGACATACATTAGTCTGAAGATAACTGTTTCATTATCACTTTGTATGCTAGCTTTACTGGGATTTTTATCATCTGCGTCATAGAGAGAATTCAAATAAAAATTTAATTTGCAAGTTTATGGTATGATATCGTAAATGATAAATAACTGAATAAAAGTTACGTTGGAACAGCAAAACACAATTGTAAATCAGGCTGATTGGTACCAACAATTTTTATTGTAATTTACTAGGTGTTAACTTATTCATAACTTTCAGTAGAGCAAATAATCATTTTACAATTAAATAAAACCTCCGATGCAGAATAAATTCAAAGCAAGCACCTTTTCAATCGCCAGAAATGCAATACTCTTCTCGATGTGCGTTACTCCAACCAAGTTGGCCCTTCGGGAGATAAAGAAAACTGGTAATTGAAAAAACTGTTAGTTTCGGATTTGTATTTTTGCAAATCTTCGCCAATTCTAACATTTTTTTATCAGGATTTCAGGTGAATTCAGAATTGTCTTGGTTCTGCAATTATATTATACATTCACTCAACTCCATGCACTCAACTTCGTAACAATTTTAAAAACTATTTATAGATGTAGATTATAATATTGAGAAATGACATATATGTGAATACTGTTTTGGGTGAGTCCCGTTTGTATTCCTTCTATATAAATAAATAAAAAAGAAATTATTCATTGCTCAAACTCATGTCATTTCATATTCTACTCATTGATAAAAAGTAGTGGTTGTCCTAGAAAGTTGAGTTTTTTTTGGGATTATTTCGAACCTCATAAATATTCACGCATGACAGACTCTTTGCCATTTCTGATTGGTTAAGAATTTTTTTTATTCTTTTGAGATTATTTCGAACAATCTCATGAATACTCTTTGCCATTTCTGATTGGTTACTCTGAAAAAATCTTAGTTGAATGAACAACTTCATTATTGAAAATCACATTTTACAAATAACAATTAATTTATTTATTGTATTATATTAAACCACAGAAGTGAAAAATTAAGAAAAATTGTTTTCACCACAACAAGGTAGAATTTGATAAGTATGAGAACTTGTAGATTTAGTGAAATATGATATCTGGGCATGGGATGCCATTAGGTGCTTCCTCACTGCAAATGAAGTATTCATTATCCAAAAAAAAGATAATGAGAGCTTAGAAAAAGTTGATTCCAGAAACCATGCTAAACCAATCTTTATAAAATGGGTCATACTTACATTATCTTCTATGTATATTCTAGAAGCAATATTGTTTGTACATGAAAATAAAAATAAATATAATATTGGCTCCAGGATTCACAATTATGATACAAAACACTAATTTCAGATTCAGATGCAGGAAGAAGGTGATCCAGCTTACAGCTATAGAGGACCTTCTGGAGCACTCAAAGTTATAAGAGGAAGGGGCTGTGAAGAAAGTTTTAGAGCTGCTGTCGTAGATCCTAATCACAGAAGTGAAATTGGTGAGTATAAAAATTGAACTGTCCCTGTCAATACTGAGTAAATTTTGGAAAAGTTCATCAACTGGAGATCTTAAATTAGTTTTATTGGTGGCATAGAGAATCTTGATTTTAATTTCTTGGAGAGTTAGTGTTTCCAAAATGTTTCCATTCCTATTTATAAAAATATATGAATAGTGAATTGTTATGGAGTCATATATGTTATTTTTGTTCAAATTTTGCAACTGAATTTTAAAGCAGTTATCCTCAACTGGTTGTGCTGAAATTTTGTATACACATTTGAATTAGTTGAGTAATGAACAATCAACATGGCGGACCGTACAAGATAGTGGATTTTTTTTTCAATTCCAATAAAAAGGTTTGCTGATGAGAGTACGGACCGCCCAAGATTGCGGACTAGTTTTTATGTACTCCCATGATATGGTTATCATTAGAAATTGAGTTTTAATTCGGCAAAGGTTCGGGATAATTTGATGGTTCTCAAAAAATGTTGTTAGAGACATATTGAATGAGAAAATCTAAAGAAAACTGGGCCATAGTCAATGAGATAAGGGAAAAGACAAACATACTCCCACTTCAATTGGAGATTGATCCAAATTCTCTCAACAATTTTTATTGCACAATAGCAGAAAAACTTACATCCACTATAACAGCACAAAATAACCCCTTAGATTACCTAAAAAATATCAATANTGTGTATATATATATATGTGTATGTTATTTTGTGTAATAGTATTGTTTTCATATGCTTTGTCAATAAGATTTTTTTCTTAGACAATAAAGTACAGTGATTGATTGATTGATTGATATGAACAGTCTAAGGAATATGTCCAGCGATAACTGAAAAGTAAAAAATAATTCAATAGTTGAAAACCATTTTCGAGTAAAAGCTTTTATTCGCCAGCTCTGAAAACCACCTATGTCACATTTATGAATTTTATATAAATCATCAATTCTCATTTAGGTTTAACAATTATTTCAAATAATAGTTTCAATCGTTTAATATTCTAATTTTTGTTTGGTAAGAACTGAAGTAACCCGGCTGTTGATCACAGTTCAAAATAAAACCAATTCAGTTGAGATACTAAAAGAAAAAAATTGGTTGTGGTTCTTTGTGACCCCGGTAATAAATATCTTACTTGTTCAGATCCGAAGACCTGAGGCAACATTTCATTTCACATTGTGGCAAGCAGTTGGACATTCGCCTTTAAATTTTTCGTTTTGTTAAATATTATTTCATGCTATTTATAATAGAAATATCTTCTATCTAGAGCAGAACAGTTAGTGTTATATTATTTTAAAAACGTTATTGAATTAACAACTTTTTGAAATAATTCACCAGGTTGGTTTAGTACATCTTTCATTTTTAATAATAGAAGCTCAAAGTTAATCAACAAAAATTAATTTGTTAATCACGGAAAAACCTCCAACAACAAATTGGTTTCACATGGAAAGTAGAATTTGGAACCTCTGGCGTAAAAGAATATATTGAAAGGAGGGAAAAGTGTTTTCAATAGACATTGGTTTCATTTTGAGTTAGAGTAATTAAAAGCTTATAATATCAAAAATGTTATTTGGAATCACATGTTTATTTCAACTTTGTGGTTATTGAGATAAGCAGTTTTCAAACCATTTCAAAGCTAAAACCCTGATTTAAATTTTTGCAAATGATAACCAGTAAATCAACAAATCAACAAAAAGTATTTTTCTGTTACAAATTGATTTTTATCAGTGGTAGTAGTAGTAGTAGTAGTAGTAGAAAAGAGACTCTGGTGGTTCAAAATCTCTTCCGTTTTACTTCCATAAATGATGGCAACTCATGTTTTCTAAGAGTATTTCCTGGATAATGCAGCTATACATTGATTACGTAACTTGAAAAACTATATAGGTGCCCATAAATAAATTAAATCGCAAATGAATATTATTGTCGATCATTCCTTCAACCAAAATTTTGACTTTTGTAGGTGCCAAAAAGCATTGGCTCTTGGATGGACCAATGGAAAATGAAAGAGAAATAGATGGCTTTAATAATGTGAGAGGAGCACCAAGACAATCTTCTTTGAATGCAGCTATTGACAATAAAAGTAAATCGGCTAAGAAGAAACAAGGGATCTTCAAAGGAATTGGCTCCATGTTCAGGTACAGACTAATAAAAATGTGTTATAATTATGTGGAAAAGTAAACAAATCAGTTGAAATAAGGGAGATATTCCATGGAATTATAGATGTATATTACAGATTTTTCAAAGATTGAAAAGACCGAGAAGCTTTTTTATCTTCACAGCACTACGAAAGATTTTTCTACTCAACTTTAAAACTTTCAAGGCCCGGGAGCTGTAGGCTTAAAGGCTAATATCTAGATATCATATGGCAATATTTTTGTTCTTTTTGTAAAAAGGGCACAAACCCACAAAAAAGATGTTCTGAAATTTTTGCATATATCTATTCTAAGATTCCACATTAGAGTAACATCATCGATGTCACAGATATTGAATTTAATCGAGTTCTCTTTGGAACATGTGTTTAGGAAAGAATTTATGGAATTGAAGTCTCTAGGGTTTCAGTGTCATGTTCTCTATTCAATAGTGAAATAGTTCATCTGTGTAGTAGGTACTTGTTTGAATATTATTCTGTTATTGATGTATTTTGTAACATGATTCATATCTACAGAGGAGTAACTATTTTGAGCAAAACAAGATAGTTCTAGCTTTGTTAACTACATGGTAATCGATGAAATACATCAATTAGCCATAGAATCCACATTATGGAAATATGATTCTAGTGAACACAAAAAAATGTATCCTCACTATTTATTGATCACCATCAGATGATTCTGATATCTTTATCGATGTGATAATGAAAGTGCTAGAACAAATATTAAAAACAAAATATAATACTTTACTGGCCTCATATGGGCTCAATAGTACAATATAACCGAACACTATTTTTTCAAATGATACCTCTTTACTGCTTCGCTTTTGAAAATTGGTCCAATTGTTTATAAAATGGGTTTCCCTAAATACTGATAACATGTTTTCCGAAATATATAAAAATTGAATGAATTCCACAAAAAACTTACCATATTAATCAAGTAAATCCTGGAAATGTTGTCCGCCAAGTGTTATTTTCAAACCATTGTCATATTTTGAAGCATTTGCAATGTCTCTTTGTGACGAACGTTAATGATTCTCCCCCCGGTGAGTCAGGTGGAGCACCTCAAAAATAATCTAAAACACTCAAGTCGGATGACCTAAAAGACCATTCAAGTGCATCCCTTCATCGTATGCAGCGACCTTGAAATCTGGTGTTTGAATAAATGCGCATAGTTTGTGAGTAATATGTCCTCTTCGATGTATACAGCATCATTGTCTTTATTAACAAAAGCTGGGTCAACAGTATTTTTGGAATTAATCCAGGTATGTATCACCTGTCGATTTTCTAGGAAGAAAGAAAGGACTGAAAACACCAGCTCACTCATTCAGGTTTTGAAGAAAAACCATGAGAATATCGCTGGAATTCCTGTTGTCCTCGATAACAATTGTACATAAAACTGGAAATTATCGTTTCCTCCTCGTATTTAACTCTCAAGAGTCTCAAGTAATGACTTTTATAGTTTGTAAAATAATTTTCATACTTGTTTCTTGGCATATTTTCTAAAATCCCAGTGACAGGCAAATTCAGAAAGTTCAAACAAAGAGTCAGCAATACACAAGGCAAAGAAAAAATCTTATGATAATCTCATACAAAACTCAAATAATAAAAAATCTTCATTTTGATCATTTGAGTTTTGTCTCAATGTAATCTCAAATAATGTCATTTCTATTGAGTTAACCTCCAGTTGACATGTTCATCATAAACAGTAAAATCATCAAAGAACAAAGAAACCATTGATTTCTTAATTGAGCCATTTATCATCCTAATGAATCATTGTTTTACTGAATGGGTATTCACTGACATTTTTATAGTGTACAAAGTTGTGCCAGATTATAACTACAGATCTATCTCTATTATCGCCATTATAGTAAAATTTTTGGAAATTCAATATTAAACAGTGCTAAATGAATTAATTGTGATAAATTCAGCTTTCTTCATAGCCAGGTAATTGAAACTGTTTTCGAAAATGTGGAAAGTGACGAAGTTACTCCAATAACTTTCTGGGATCTGAGCAAAGCATTTGACTGTGTCAAGCATGACAATCTTATCGACAAACTGGAATTTTCTGAAATACTAAGCAAGACCTTAAGTTTCTTCTATTCATATCTAGGATACATGCTCTTTGCTTGAATGAAGAAGAAGTAGTAGTTTTACATGGAATTCCACAGGTGTCTATCTTTAGACCTACTATCTTTTAAAATATATATGAATGACCTGTTATAGTATTTACCACCAAGTAGTCATTACTTTGCTAGTTTAAAACTTGCCTCCTTCACAAACAAACGACGTATTTTTGGATTTTTGTGGTAATTTCTTTCCCTGGCAGATCTGCCATACAGTTTCAATGACACGCTTTCCATAACATATCAAATACCATTATTCTGAAACATACTGAGAATAAAACTATAAAATCATACTTTCATGTATTACAAATGAAAATATTTAAATTTGTTAATAATCATGTCTTCATGACTTCCTTTCGAAAATTTGTGAGGTTAATAGGGATGTTTATTATTCTCGAGAAAGTACTTAAATCAAAATTATTAAATACATTTACTACTTTAAAATTATGTATATCAAATTCTGTTTGAAATCTAGTTCCAAAATGACACTACTTGTCATGTTATGTAATGGTTATTAATACACTCGCATATACCATACAAAACTCGCCTTCGGCTCGTTTCGTATCCTGGTTAATGCTCGTGTCTTAATAACCATCATTACATGATCATTGCATAATATACTATTATTGTTTACATTAAACTTCATTATTCAATGATGAAAAGTGGTATTTTGAGGTTAGAAAAGGTGACATGTGTTGGGTAATAACTATTTTTACTCGTGTCATTTCGGTTGGTATTAATAGTTTAGTCGCTTTAATAATTGAATTGAGGTCTTCATATTCCTAAATTTGGCAGAGCTGAGGTTACTGTTTGTTTTGAAGAAATTGGTCACCTTTACATCATGGGATTTTTTTGCTTACAGTGTGAGTAACTGTCGTCATAGACTTTGATTGATGTTCCTTGTCACATGTCTTGACGGAGATTTATTAAATAAAATTCAAACTCTTCAAAAATGAAGAAAAATATTTTTCAGAATCTCCATTAAGAAAACCATTTACTTTTTCACAGTAAAATTATATTTTCAGTTGAATGCAGTAGTCAAAATCTCCATCCTTCTGTTTTCGAGTTAAAGTACATCTTTTGTGAACACAAATGATAGTTTGTGTTTCAGTTTTCTACAATATAAAAAATATATAAATGGGTTGATACCACAAATTGTGTCCTTGAATTTTGAAGAATACCAATTTTTATAATTATTATTGACACAATCGTTATATTATTGCGTAAACTTTTTTAATTCAACTTTATCAAATTTCATTGTTTCAGGTTATTCCAGAAAATTCAGTAGCGCCACCACCAATAAAGTATCGTCAAAATTCCTCCGAACATAGACGCAGTGACAGAGAACTTCACAAGCAGAGAATGGCTCAAAGGCACACCTATTATCAGAGTGATGATAGAGACGCTCATGATGTCCGGTCGCAACAGGTAAAACTGAATTTTATTCTTCTGAAATGAGTCCTCTCATACATGTTTTTTTCAGAGGGTTGATTCATCTAACCAGTTTATTGAATATGGAAGACCTGGTAGCAGATCGGGTATTACAGAGTCCGTCCCCTTCACACATTACGTTAATTATAATGAACTACAAAATCATTTAAGGTAATTTTATCCCATTTGCAAATAAACCTTCTACGAGAAATCATTGAGGATATTATGAAAAATAATGATTGATCAAAAATTTCTTCGGAAACCATTTCATATAATCCCCAGAATGATTTTTTGTAATTTATGTACTGATTTTAAGGTAATTGTACCTTTCTCTTTTTTTTATACTCCTTCTCTGTTATGCACATTCCATTTTGTAACTAACACTAATATGTTGCATGACAATATTATTTGAAATTCATCTCAAAAGTGACTTTGAGCTTAGTTTTATGATCTAATGAAAAATGTAAAAAAAAATCAGTCAATTATTGTGTTCTGTTTAAGTGTTATACAGTTAACACAATTTGAAGTCACTGCGTTTTGAGATTTGTTAAACTCTGATTATCTCATTTGGCAAATAGTCATGTTCACAAATCACATCTATTAATTTGATTTTCAAACATAAGTTCCAAATGAAGTAATGAGAGAGATATCTTCGTGAATTTATAAATTTTTGTGTTTTTTATCATTACATGTTTTAATGTTTGTGTTTGTCTTTAATTTGTAACATGCCTGTTTTGTCCTGTTAGCCGTAATAAAGATCCTCTATCTGACAGTCAGATAGTTCAGATGCGACTGCAAGTGCAACAGCAAAGATTAAAGGTGGAGGAGGAAAGGTATGCACCTTGTTTATCATTTTCTTTTCAATTTTCCTACACGCTTCCTCACAGAAACTAACACATTTATATTATTTTTTGTTGAAGTCAGTATCGTAGTGTAAGTATCGATTAAGTATCTAGTGAACCTGAAATAGATAGAAATTATGTAAATTATCTGATTTCCATTTCCAGAGTAACAGTAGTAATTCCATAGGACGCCTGATGAAAAATTATTGATGAAAATGCTCTACAGGAAACATGATTATTCAGCGAACAACCTTCTCTTTGTTGAAGTAACCTTCCTAGGTTCTAATATATATTTCCTTCCCTCTGTCCCAACTTCCTTTTTAAACAAGTGAATAATTAATTCTGAAATTTCGTTAATGGGGGTTTTTGAAAACACTGAGTTGATCTTTCAAATCATTTTGGCCATATAACGAAAATGGATAAAGGAAAGGAAAGGAAACTCAGACAATGTTTTATGGAAAAGGAGACAAAATCCAAAATTTTCAAATGTATAATAAAAAATGTATTATTATATAAATTGAAAGGAGTATACTTTCAGTTGAGATTACGTGTAGTTTTTGTTATTATAATTTTATAATAATCATAAACTTCAAATGAGTCTGAATCATCTTTATTGTCACCTTTTACATCCTATCATCACTACATATTCATACCTTTCTACTACTCCATCTGATACAAAAAAAAAGGGATGAGAGAATCTTCCAAAGAAAGGAAGGAAGTAATCAATTTGAAACTCTATATATGAATGTGTAGATCATGCAAAGAAGTAACTTTCAGACACAAACTGAAAGAAAGTCCTCCTGAAACAGCTACTTTCATATAAACATTGAATTACACGAAAGAAAATAATTCTTTCGAAACAAATACTTCTATATGAACACTGAATTATACAGAAGATACTTTTCTCTACTCAGTTTGTATTTCAAACATTTGTTGTGGAATAAGAATCAGATATCATTCACATGAGTTCTACTATGAATGAATGGTAATAAATTGTACTCACATAGAACACTGTCACCCTCACTGGTATACACCGATGTTTCGCCTTAAGACACTTGCTCTAAGGCTCTTCAGAGCCAAATTGGATAACATTATAGAAAATAAACAGGAGGACTTTCTTTCAGTTTGTGTCTGAAAGTAACTTCTTTGCATGATCTGCACATTCATGTATAGAGTTTCAAATTGATTACTTCCTTCCTTTCTTTGGAAGATTCTCTCATCCCTTTTTTTTTGTATCAGATGGAGTAGTAGAAAGCCAAAAACTTTCTTTCCCAAAAAATTAATCACTCCTAAAAATATAACCCCTTCAATTCATATTTATACCATATTTCTAATATGTAGAGAATTATAAAAAAATCGGCTTCAACTTCATGTTCACTTATAACGAATGTTCTACTTGGGATTTTAAGAATTAAAGACCTTATTTTTTTTTCAGTCCTTGAGGTTTATTAAAAATGTCACGTTATACATAAAGTTAATGTAACTTTGTATTCAGGAAGGGTGTAGAGGACAAATATTTAGCACACATTACATGAATTACACGATTCCTAAATCTTCACTAACTGAGCTAATAAAATGATAAAAGAAGGGGCTACACAATCGCATTCAGATATATCATTCTTTTCATCAGACTTTCTTCTAGGGTTACTTTTGAGATTACTTTTCAAACAGCCCTCATATATAACTGTTAAGTAAAACAAAACATTAAAAAAAAGTTCTGTTTATAAGTCCATAAAGATTTTATTTGAGTAAAAAGGTATATAAATGTGTTGGTTGCTATTTTCTTGCATGCTTCTCCATGCTTCTGTATCGTTAATAATGACTTGGGTTGGTTTATAGGTCCATAAAGATTTTATTTGAGTAAAAAGGTATATAAATGTGTTGGGTGCTATTTTCTTGCATGCTTCTCCATGCTTCTGTATCGTTAATAATGACTTGGGTTGGTAGTCTTCCTCGTTGAAAAGTTGAGAATAACTTACTTTTATACACCAATAATTTCTAACATGTTTGACAATCTGTAACACAAGCACAATTTGAATACAGAATATTTTACCAGCTTTTTTCCTTTGTTAATAATTTTGAAAATCATATATTTTTGCTAAGTTAGACATGTACTCACTTATTCATTATTTTTTATTGTCACAAATATTTCAAATTATAAAAGTGCATAGTGCAGTAATTGATTGAAGTATTTCATAGGGTTCCATTCTAAACCCACTATTAAATATAGTAATTTGCATATATTATCAATACCTATATGCAGTAGTACACATCACTGCATATGCTGATGATGTAAATACAAGCTTCACTGGTTAAAGTAAAGTAGTACTTGTTGAAACACAATGTTATTCAGTAACAATTATAATTTTATAAATGTATGTAGGCTGACATATATCACTAACTCCTTTATTCCAGTAAAACAGCCTTGTTTTTACTTAGAATAATTTCAAAAATATGAAAATAACCAATTGGAGGTAGTCTTAATAATGCTTGGTCTTACTCTAGTTCATAAACTTTACTGGTATCCTCTTTTCGACACACTTTGTGATAAACTATGATAAAACTGTTACTCATCAAGAGATATTTCTAATCATTTTTCTGATAACATATTGATTAGTTATCAGGATTACCCTGAACTACCCTTTATCAAAAAAGACTGATATTATTCAACAAATAATAACAGTTCAATAAATAGGTTTAAAACCCTTATTCAAATGAAGTCTTGAAAAGTTTCTCATAGATGAAAATTGTATATTCATTTTATAATGTATGAGAGTCTTAAATTTAATTTCAACAAGCCATAATGGTACCCTGTTTTTACCTATATTTTAATTTCACTCAAGTTATTCTTACGTCTTCCTTGTTTTGATATGAGAATATTTCAAAATAATTTCATAGTTTTCAAAAAGAAACATAAATATTTTCATTATACCACAGCCGTAAACAACACCAGTACCATTCTCAACGTCAGAGTCGTCCCGACAACCAACTGAGGCCTGTTTCAAATTATTATGAATACGAAAGCATCCAGTCCGTCCTAAACAGCCGAACACGTCAGAACGTTCCACATGTCACTTCTGTCTCTTCCCAGCAACCACCAGGATACCAAGATGCCAACTCAAATTCATTATCACGTAACCAGCCTGTTCAAGGGAGACATCCTAGTGGAAGGGGTAGTCACTCCAGAGGACCATTCGTTACTCAAGTTACTATAGGAGACCATCAAAAGAACGGAACCAAAGTGTGATAGTAGCTTTCCTATTGATCTACTTGGTTTTTGGTAGTCGGTGAGCTCAGTCTCAATTACAGTTGAAGAGTTGTGTTTTTTCTAGTTGACTGGTTAAAACAACCACATTTCTTAATCTGTTAGTTTCAATTGGCATATCCAAATACAGTTTTTTCTTGAATATGTTTAATTCGTTTTCATTGTCAGTATACTTTTATCTATAGTTTTTCAAAAGCTGATTTTATTTATATACAAATTTCTCCTAAAATAATTTCTATTCTATGATAAAATATAGAGTTTTATACTCAATAATGTCCAAAATATTCATCATTATTTACTAAAACTAAGAACACTGAAATAAAAGATTATTGATAACAGATTCGAATACTTAATGTCTAATATGATGGAAATGAGCCTTAGAAAATATTTCAATTAGAATTTTACAAAGAGTAAATTCAGCAAGAATGAAACTTTCACATTTGTTACGAAATAAGTATTTTGGAAACAACTTTTGAACCATAGCAAGTCCGTTGGGTTTAAATATGGAAGTACTAAGCTGCAGTTGCTTTAGAAGGCCTACATATTACACTCTCAATTGTTTTTTTAAACAGGGTCAAACAGAAAAATTGACACAAACATAATAAATGAACAATATAAATTTAAACAAGATGAATAAAGACAAACGTTTTAAATTAAACTTCCACTGGAACAAATGATAGTATTTCAGTGTGATATTTAATTTATAATGTGTATCAAAATATATATTTTCCCAATTCAGTTAAATATTACTATCTAGGAATACTTTAATTCATATGAAATTCAAATGTATTTTATGAAAAAAGTCATTCAACTCACAGGTTAATGGGTTTAATGAAAGATTGGCAACTTAGTTTCGTCTGAAGGGGGTATTCTACAGTATTTTTGTTTACGATTGCTTTTGTGATATCAAGAATGCCTTTGACTTGACTAAGAAATATAACAATATGGAATTCAGTATGAAAAATTCTAATGGTTCACCACCATTTGTTTCAATTACATCAACATTATTGATATATGATATTCGTATCTAACAAAATCTACTCAAACATAATAAATAGTGGTCGAATGTGACCTCCATTTTGAAATGCTAAAAAAAAAGTAAAGTAACTGTAGATAGTGTTTCATATTTGTTATAATCTGATATAACCCAATTGGCAATGTGAAGTTTTGTTCATTAGATTTCATCATAAACTATTTTTTCAAATACGGATTTCAAATACGATTTTTGTAGGCACTGTAATAACAAATTCAGCTAGGTTTACAAGTGTTTCCCGACGTTTTTCCCGAAAAACATCAACAATATTTGTGTAGTCTCAAAAAGGTAGAAACCAATATCTTAGAGCTCAAAATTACATCAACTCCACACATGTGTTGTAATACCTATAAAGTCGTAGGTCTACCTGAACCTGGAGCATATCATATGCACCTCTACGGTATATTAATCATTTCATATATGCGGACACGTGTTTCTGGCTATTGGCCTCATCAGCGCGGTGTAGCCAAGTGCAAAGATGGGCAACACATGGTTGGTGAGCGCCTTGTTCATCTTTGATTATACTGAATGAGTCTTCTGTCAACCCCCCATATATGTTGTCATTTACTTAACTTTTTACCTACTTTTACTTAGAGCTCAGTTATTCACTGCTGTTTACATCAATCATACTTTCGAGGACCTGCACAGAAGTATATTAGGAATGTGAAACAGTTTCATTTAGGCTCTTAGAAGGGCAATATATGTTCTTGAACTTATCTATTTATTTGAGATAGTTCTTTTGATCATTTCTTAAATATTGTTAAATGAGCTATAATGCTTCCTCGTTTGAACTTTCTACTCAGTTTTTTAAAACTGCTTTCAATTATTATTTTTAATAATCAAGAAATCGAAAAATATTCTTCATTTTGATCTTTTGTCTAGCCGAAATGAATGATCCTTTCGCTGATAGACCAAGTTTGGTGGAGAATTCGATTTGAAGGACCACGTACATATTTTTTTGTGATTGTATATTACATAAACGAAAGTGACAAGTTAAATGATTTTTTTCAGTAGGAGTAATTATTTTTCTCAAAGATGATTCCACAAAAAACAAGCTTTGAAACTAGAGGAGATATAAAAGGCTAAGGTGTGAAAATCATACTGTAATAAGGATAGTTTGTGAAAATATTTATTAATCAAGTTATATACAAAACACTGATAATACACAACAATATAATTACAAACATATGATGATCTTACTTTCAATAGATAGAAAAAGCCTTAATAAGAAATTTCATAGAACAGTTTACATCAACATCACCTATATTTAATCAAAATCGTTAATGTAAGGCGCTCAATCGAAAAAATACAAAGTCAAAAAATCTTGTAGGAAAAACTAAAAAAATCAGTGCCGTGATTAATCACAAGGACTAGAAATATTCAGCAACTCGACAAATGAGAGCTCTCAATTCCGAAAATTACAAGGCACCTTTTTTATATACACTTTTGGGCATTTACAATTTATCAACATAAATACATAGCCTAATCACAGATACATCATTAAAATTACTTCTGAAATAATCAAATTCATTGAATTAAATTAAAATATTCATTCATCATCTTCATTATGCCTTTATTTCTTGAGAAATATTGTTTTGTGCACTAATAGGTTCCAGGTCTAGTAATATAATAGATTCTCATTGTCCTCAGTCCTTTTCAAGTAATAATTGAAGAATATTGTAGTTTTGTAAAGTATGTTTTTCTTGAATACAATATATAAAACTGAATTAAAAGTATATAATCACATAAATGAAAATGTTCATATTAGAAAGTCTATTGAATGTCTTATTCATTCATTTAGTATTTATTTTCAATCTTTTCAAATGAAAGGTCCCTTATTTATTAGTTTTATAAATTGTATTTCCCAGGAAAATACTTTATCAAATATAGACCCAATATGAATCAACTTTTCTGGAAAGGACAATAGACTATCAATAATCCAGAATTTATCAACACAAAATGAATATTCAAGATGGCAATTTCAATTTTTATATAAAAAAAAATTCAATTGATAGTAGAATCTTAAGTACATATTGAAGGCTATTCAAAATGGCAGTATATGCGAGATGTTATGAACAAACAACAAAAATTCCGATAAGACAAATATTAAAAAAATTCAAAACCGTACAAACAACTATTTTTCATTAAGAGGTCTATATTCCAAGTTTTGATTTTAAAATACTGATTACAAAAATTTTGAAATGGAATATATAAGGATTACAGTACACAATTAAAAGCCAAGGAAATATGATATGTCCAAAATCAAACCTCATCACTAATGACAAATTTTTAAATAAAAAAACAGGTTCACTTGAGACACTAGAAACTATTGAATGAATATCTAGTTATTTTAGAATTCAAGAGAGTTGTGAACCACACTATATTTCCTCACTAAAAATATTAAAGTCCATACTGATAAAATATATGGAAACTTTTGTTACAATCACAAAGTTCAAATAAAATCGATAGACTTTGACAAGTCGAAACATCCACCAAAAAGGTAGTCTAATTTCTCTATGAAAAGCCCAAACAGCGGTCAAAAAAGACCTTTTTCTTTCTTGAGGGCTGTTTTCTTCCAAGAAGGGAGTTTTTCGAACTCATCTTTAGACATGGACAATAGTTCTTGGAAATCTTCTTTAGAGAGGTACTTTTCAATGTTGGTGGGATCTACGCCTTCTGGTAGGGGCCTCTGGACGAGATCGGAGAGAGGGTAAGTAGTCCTTGAGAGAAGGGCCAGCTCTTTCTCAAGCGGTAACATGTCTCCTGATTTTTTTCCTTCCTGTAAAGCAACATTATACGATCAGCATTGACAGAAATTCAAATTTTCTACTAGGGAAATAATGTGAGAGTTGAAATGTATTTAGCCAAAAGTTCACATAAAAATACTAATCCAACATTTCACAATACAAGTGTGAATTGAGATTTTTACATATTAAGTTTTCCCATGCCACCTATATGTTGAATATTATGTTTCACAGTAAAACCATTTTTATTTAAATAACAGAGACTGTCAGACTATTGGAAAAATAGATATCATTAACAGAAACCTCATAAGACATTCAGTTCAGATATGTATATACTATCAATATTGCATGAGGGAGAAAATGTCTCCAATTATTTCAAATAAAGTTGAAACCAGATTCCAAAACTAATATATTAGTGATACAACACCCAACATACTGAGTAAGAAACGCATGACAACTTCAACAAAAAAATTCAATTCTGATCTAATTGCCTGTTTGCAATGAAACAGTGATTTCTCATTTAAAGGTATCTGTATCTGTAGAGTAGGGAGGGTGAGTGTAAGCCCACGCACTTAGGCCACATGTGACCCATTGTACATCCTCCCGAGGAGTTGTCCTCCTAGGTCGTCGTCCATCCTGTCTTTTCCAGGAAGGTGGACAGGTCGCTGGGAGACATCTCCTTTATATCGGCAGATGTAGGCCAAGACTCGCCGAACACACACTCTCTTATTGACGATAACTCCGGGCACTCGCACAGGACATGCCTGACAGTCTCATCTTCTTGTTCAGACATCCTGCATAGAGGTGTGTCCACTAGCCCCATATTATGTAGGTGTTTCCTTAGCTGACAGTGGCCAGTCAGAAATCCTACTGTAAGGCGTAGATTTTTCCTGGTCATCGCCAGATATTTCTTCGGCGCCAGCTTCCCAGGGTCGCCCAAGGTGATCCTGGCAAGATTACATTCTTTGATTTCATCCCATCTCTTTAAAGATTGAGCATGGGTGTAACATTTGACTAGTTCCGCAATTGTCGAAGTCATTAGGCCGTGGGTGCCACTTGGTCCTAAAATTCTTAGTCCAGCCGCTTCCTTGGCTAAATAGTCGGCAATGCGATTACCTTTACTCCTGTCGTGCCCTTTAACCCACCTCAGGATAATGTTATTATCTACTGAGGCTTTGGCTAAATCTTGGTGGCACTCTAGTGCTAGCCCTGAAGTAACACGGTGTCTGTTCAAGGCTAATAATAGTGCTTGTCTGCTATCAGTGCAGATTGTTATGTTTTTGCCAGAAATTCTTTTCTTGGTTATTTCTTTTGTGGCGATTGAGATACCAGCCAGTTCTGTTTGGACCATGCTGGTATTTCTTCCCATTCCCCACTTAATCCTTAGGCTTAGTGATCTGGAGTACACTCCACATCCTGAGCCTTCCCATTCATTTGAAGATATATTTCAATGCTTGGTTTTGCAATGTATTGGAGAACAAATTGTTTTGAATAGATAATATTGTATCTCTCAAACAGAAACCATCTATGCCATTTTTCGGGTTTGTTGGCCGTGGCCTGCAGGTGTTTATGCCTGACCTTTAGTCTATTGCAGTACACATTATCAAAGGCGATGAGGCAAAGGACGCCTCAGACGCTCGGGTTGTTAAGCAACAGCAAAGGTATACTGGATCTCCTGTAGCTGTGGATCAGTATACATCAGAACCACGAAAAGGAATATAAGAGGTAATTGCCATTTTTCGGGTTTGTTGGCCGTGGTCTGCAGGTGTTTATGCCTGACCTTTAGTCTATTGCAGTAGACATTATCAGAGGCGATGAGGCAAAGGACGCCTCAGACGCTCGGGTTGTTAAGCAACAGCAAAGGTATACTGGATCTCCTGTAGCTGTGGATCAGTATACATCAGAACCACGAAAAGGAATATAAGAGGTAATTGCCATTTTTCGGGTTTGTTGGCCGTGGTCTGCAGGTGTTTATGCCTGACCTTTAGTCTATTGCAGTAGACATTATCAGAGGCGATGAGGCAAAGGACGCCTCAGACGCTCGGGTTGTTAAGCAACAGCAAAGGTATACTGGATCTCCTGTAGCTGTGGATCAGTATACATCAGAACCACGAAAAGAAATATAAGAGGAAATTATTATCAATAAAATTGGGCTACCTGCACTAAATTAGATTCCAAAGGCATTCAATTCGATCAATAGACACATAACCATGCCCACCACTAATACAACGAAACTGGAGACTCCAACCTTGGAATATAGTGTATTTGCTGTGAGAACAGGTTGAGCACTACGTTTGTTGCCTCATCGCCAATGGTAATATCTACCGCAATGATACTGTTCTTTGTAGTTGCACTTAGAAAGCAAACAGTGCTTATTTTTCACGCATTGATGTGTTCCTCTCATGTCATCTTATGGTCTATAATTATTCCCAGAAATTCAATATAATTCAAACGAAACGCCACTACCTAATCCAGGGACATAAAAAACACAATCGAGATCCGACTGTACTATTTTTTATTGGGATTTGGGAAAAACGAATAATCTTATTCATTCATCATTTCTAGATGATAATGAAAAAGCTGAAATCCGAAAACTTTCGGCCACGTCTATATGGCACTAATACCTATTATGAGTGTGATAGGTTCACCTACTTATGAGCTGTACAAACACTGAACGACCCTACTGCAGCCCCTCACTGAAAAAACAGTCGTTCACTAAAGACTGGAACATTTTATCAAATAAGGTTAGACTCAGGAGACATAATAGTGAGCTTCAACAAAATCTCATTGTATACGATGATTCCGGTCGAAGAAACTGGAAACTAAACTTCTAATTAGTAAAATATTTCCAGTAGACATAACCACTAGGTTTGCTCATTATTTATTATCGATGTACTTCCAGCAGAAGGTGTTTTCTATGAACTAATGAGATTTCACCGCAAAGGGCGGTTTTTGAATTTTTTTGGTGGCAAACTTTTTCACAGAAAAATTGGAACAACAGACCTTTGAGCGAGCGGCGGTGAAACCATATTTTTGGTTGCATTACATTAATGATACGATTAAGGTATGGCAGCACAATGGGGAGCATCTCAACTGAATTCTATTATTTCTGAATTGTTTCAACTCAAAAATACGATCCACAATTAAAAGGGAACAATCGCCTTCTTGAATGTGCCGATGAACAGACGAGAAGAAGGACCATTTGGTCATAGGGTGCACTGAAAATCAATATATACAACAGGTGTCTGAATAAAGTATCCAACCACCAGCCAAGACAGAAGAGGGGGGGTATATTAGATTTTAGCTTTAGCCTTGAAGAGAGCCCAATAAATATGTAAACCTGAAAGTCTTACCAATGAACTCAAAAATTTGAAAAGCTAAATTCAAGCAGGCAATACAACCCAAGAGAAGAAATGTCTGATAGAACACTGTAAAATTGGTATTTAGACCAACGTAATCCATTAGAGAGGCTAAGGTCAGTGAAGGAACCCAGAGAGATTTTAGCAAGACTAGGGGTATAGTGAATCCCTTATAGCTGTGTATCCGTCTATACTGGGATAACGAAGAGAAATAAACAAGAGAAATTGTAGTCTGAAGCAAACCGGCAGTCAGCCGTAGCAAAACATACACTCAGCGAGAGTCTAAAGAGACCCAGGTGCTTGATAGAATTCGGAGCTTTTACCCAAGACTATATAGAGAGGCAATATAAATTCAAAAACAATTTCAATCTGCACTAAATTACATTCGTAAAAAGAGAAAATTCAATTCAATCAATAGAAAGAAGCCACACCTACTACCAATGAACAAAATTGGAGCCTCCAACTTTGAATATAGTATTTTCTATTCGAACAATTCATGCAAAACTATACAGATAGTATCCAAACTGATTCTGTACAGATTTTAGTGAAGAACTTTCGTTATACAGAATCAGGTGAAGTCCTAAAACTGTTACGATTTGAATTTGTACAATAAATCTCATCATATGATCTTATATTCTGCAGTCAAGAACATTAATGTGGTCAATTCTTCACTACCAAAAAAACATCTCTACAAGACTAACATATCAAATACACTACCTTATAGAAACCACTTCACCAATCTGGCCATAATTATACTATATGTTTTGCCTATAATTGTATATATTGTGAATAGAAATGCTCATCTGGCAGCATGAAGGATATTCACACTATCATAACACCCATTAGGTATATTAAAATTAAATCATTAAACTCTTTTCAAGATTGTCAATAGGACAAAAAAACGATGTAAAAAAATATGAAGTAACTTGGTTTGATATCTTTTCAATATTATATGATATTATATTATCTTCTGATATCTTTTTTATTATTATATTATTTATAATAATTGAATTTTTTAAATTTCTTGTTCATTTTCAATTTTTATTCTTTTTTCATTTATCTTTACTCTGTGGTCGTTTTCATCTTTTACCTTGATTATTTTGTTTTATTAATTTTATTGTATTTTCATTTCACGTTTTATTGCTTATACATAATTGATATGTTAGCTATTCATCCTAATTTTCATTTGTTCTTCCATAGATTTCGAATCATATTAGACAATGGAAGTCCGAACTAGTAAAATTCACCTTGAAACATTGTCAACCACTTGCAAACAAACCTTAATATTTAGTTCTGCAATATCTTCCTGATCCTTCCATGTAGGAAACAAGTTTTTGAACCTCAGCGGTTCCAGTCCAGCCCAAACTAAGTAAGCCACTAATGGAATATCATCGCCTTTCGATTTTTTCCAGTAATCTTTTGCTGTCTGCATAGCGGCTCTGCGTTCAGCTTGCCAACGAACAGCTCCCGAACCTGTCTGGTCGCTCAGATCAACGTCATCTTCTTTTTCTGGCCAATAACCTTGCCACAGCCACAGTTCATGATGATTGTCAATTAGGAACAAAGCTTGAATAAACAATTGAATCAAAATCACTCTCTGCTGTAGAAATAAGTAACAAGAGAATAAAAGTATGAATAATATATAAGTATCCGAAAAAATATCACAGTTGTGTGAGGGGCAACATCCGAATGTTATTTCAGTTCGATTTTAATTGATGAGGAAATATTTTTAGCAATAATTTCAACTTTGTTTTTTACCCCCTCGGTGACCTCCAAACTTTAAATCTTGCAATAGGTTATGCAATACCTATTTGAAATTCAGCAATTTCAAAATTCTGCAATTTCAAGTCAAGAAAAAGTCTCTATTTTTAAGAGGGGACGTGAAAAAACTAATATTCGAAGTTTATCTATTTGCAACTTTTTACTTCAACATAAAGAATCCTATCGCTTTTCAACAGTAATAGAAGTTTCGTTTTGAGTTATTTAGGACATTCTACATGAACTTTTTGAACCATGTATGAGTTTTTGTCAGTGTTTTAAGAAAAAATTAATACAGTTTATTGTATTATTTTCGCTATAAAGGGTTTTACAAAAACCGCGACACGTGTTTCGTTAAACAATAACTTTATCAAGCATTATAATCATTATTAAAGCTTGAGAAAGCTATTTAATGTATAGCGAAACACGTGTAGCGGTTTTTGTTAAACACTTTATAGTGAAAATCATACAAAAAACCTGTATCAATGAGTTTGAACAAACAAAAAATTCAGTCTCATTTACTGAATTATCAGTTATTCACCGAGTAACTCACAAAATTGCAAAAGTCAATTAAGTCATTTTCATTTGATTTATTCAAAAAATGGATTTTATATGAATGAAATTTATGTTATCCTCGTATTAAAAAAAAATCAATGTGAGATTTCCACTTGACAGTTCACAAAACCACGACTCGTGTTTCGCTATACAATAGCATCTTCAGGCGTCACAATATATGTCACGGTTTTATAAACTGCCAAATGGAAATCTCACATTAAAGTGTTTTTTCAAACACGTTATATTGGATTCTCATCAGGTATCGGTCAGTTCTATCATATTTTTTTAATAGTATCCGAAATTTGACAGATTTATCTCACCACTCTGAGGGAGTGGAAGTGACAAAGTTGAAAACGTGTGAAAAAAATTTTCTCTTCGAAATAAAAATCGGTGATTACGATAGTTTTTTTCTTCTAAACAACTATGTTATATCGAGAATTGTTTTCATTGGGTTACGTATTTTTCTATAATTAGATTCGAACTGGCTGATATTGAATATACTAGGTACTTCAATGAAATATCACAAAATATATAATGAAACACTTACCTGGCTGACTAGCAGAGTATAATTCGGATTGTACAAATGGGTATGGACTAGAATGTTCACTTCTATGTGGACATAGAAGCTCGGTAGCATCAAAGTGACCAGTGACACTACTCATTCTGAACAACCTGATTGTATGATCATATTTTTCTGTTGAATTCAACAACGACAGGTAGCTTTCTCTGTTATTGCCCAATACATCAAAGAAATCTTCACTTTCACTCCCCTCTTCCATATTAACAATATCTAAATCCTCTTCGAATACATCCAGCTGCATTTCAACAGGTTTCTTAACCATCAATTTCTTTACGGTCTCCTCAATAACTTTCTTCTTTTGTTTGCTAGATTTTGCTCCATGCCAAATCGTAACCTGTTCATTATTAGTGTCAACAATGACAAAAGAAGACCTGCTTCTCAACGAACTCATGCTCAGAGGTACTTCCATCAGATAGATCTCATTTTCCTTTTCTCCCCTGACCATAAAAAGCCGAGGCCTTTCGGTATCATCAGCTTCATCACGTTTACCTCTATGTATAATCATGTTGCCATCAAAGAGACGTAGGAATGCCGCAGGTTCAGAACCCTGGACTACTCTCACTTGGGGGGCATTTTGTTTATCAAGTTCCACTGTTAGTAGTGCAGCCATACCTTTCTCATTAATGGAAGATTCGCTTCCTTGCCAGCAAAAGAAAACGCATCGGTCTCTCCCTACAGCTGCGTGTTTGGAAGGTTTTCCATTTAATTCTCTTCCCCTGGTAGTTTGTCTGTAGTTCCAACTGTATATGTAACTATCACCTTCAAAGAATTGACCGATAGATTTTTCTTTCAGTTCTTCATAGGTGTTTTCTAGAATACGCCATCCTTGGATCGTTAATGTCTCATAATCAAATAAACGCCGCGTTTCTTCATCAAAATATTGGTCGCCTCTACCTAAATGAATATTTTCTACGACCAAATCGGGGTTGGGGTCTTTTTCTTTGAGCATTTCATTGATATCACATGGCCTTAGGTCAATGGTGGCATTGACTTCTTTAATCTCATCATTCTTCACTTGAATAACCCTTGAGAAATCCGGCCAATCAAGAAACTTTTCTCTGAAAAGTACAGTTTCCCGATGTTGAGTGACTTTGGCAAAAAGAGCCCATTCCGGTCTTTTCGGAGCTTTCAATTGTAAGTCATTACTTTTCCTTTCACCTAAGATGGAAGCTATATTCAAGGGACATATATTACATTCAGAATAGTTATACCCTTCTTCCCACAAATCTTTTGCTAATTTCAAAGAAAGCCTTTTCTTGTCGAGGGGAGCATTTTTACCACTCCACACGTACATTTCAGACCCAAAGTCGAACACTATTATACTGGTATCTTTCAACATCTCGATTTTTGGGATTGTTCCCCAAAATTTCTCGTAAGGCACCAATTCATCGTCTTCCAAAGTATATATCATATTCGTATGTAGTATATTTGACTCGTATGTTTCATCTTCATCATAATGTCCAGGTGGAATAGTGACTGGAGCTTCATCTGCACCCAGAAGCCTCCAAAAGTTTATGGCATTCTTTTGACTAGCATTATTAGCAGTGATGGAGTAAATTTTTTCAACTTTACAATTCATATCGCCCGTTTTTCTAATGTGGTTGGCAACATCAACTAATCTGGACTGTTCAATAACATTCGAGTAAGTTCCTGTATAGGTGTAAAGAGCTTGTGGCGTGATTAAGATGTAGTTATCACCTTCATTAATACTGCTTGCAACTGGTTCAACCAGCCTTGTCTGTACATGTCTACGACCTTTAATTTGTAAGAGCATGAGATCTTTCCAGGGAAGGTACCCTGTGGGTCCAGAGGCCTTTTTCAATGCAACTGATTTGAAATCTTCGTTACTTGCTAAACCAGCTAGAACTTCGAGAGCCTTGTTTGAGTTTTTTGCCACTGAAATATAGGAAAGCTCTCATCAATGATTTATTTAGACTACATATCCAAACGTTTTACAGTTATACTACTAAATACCAGCCACACAATGAAGCAAATATTAATGTGAATACGATATAAATGAACATTCTTAAAAGTTCATTGAAAAGTAAATGCCATAAAATAGAAAAAAAGATGCATATATAAAGTAGACAGTTTTATTAGGACTATGTATCAGATTCACTTCTTAATACTAGGTGCCAAATTAAAATGTAAATAAAATAATTAGCGGGGGAATTTTGCTATTTATTGTATTTAGTAAGTATCTAGGGTACTTGTAGACAAATAGCTTTGACACGGTTCTCAAGTTTTGTTGATATCCGCTCCAGCAAGATTTCACCAGAAAACTACAAAAGTGGCTATAGCTGCGTATAATGACCTCATACAAATTGTAGGACTTTGCTGGTCTATCTGGTGATGTATTCTGCCTGTTTCATTCTCAAACTACTTCAGATCCTTATACTAAACTTCTAATCTAACAATAAAATGGAGATTAGTTTTCCTTAGTGTTAATTCAATTCATCACTTCCATTTTTGTTTTTAAAAATGCCATCCAAGTGACTCACTTTTTTCATGGACTCACACTCTGTAAAACACATTAAGCTCAACTGATAATGAATATAACATCAACATAAATAACACAGGTACTGAAAATGTTTATCTTTTTTATGGAGCCTGCATTGTTTACATATACAAAATATAAAACTTTTCATGTTAACAATTACTCATGAATGTCAACAATGAAAAAAGTGTACTCAGTGCCACCATTTTTCTCTGTTCCTGCTTTGAATATAGGTTCACTATTCTATTTTTGAAATTGTGCAGATCTTTTTATCATGCTGTGGTAGTCATTTTCTTTGAATGAAGTCGGGTATTTTCAAATAATTTATATATAATATAAATATATTGTTTCAGATATTTGAAGTTTTACAACTAGAGTTTCATTAACCATTATTCCCAAAAATTTGACATTATGAAATGTGAATTGCCCCCCGTTTATTGGAAGTAAAACAACTGGGTACTTGTGAAGCAGGAAAGACTTCAAATCCAAGAACTCTGGGATTTTTTATCTCATATTATTGGCTTTTGGGAAATACAACTTCTCTCAGAACCTTAGTACATGCTTAAAATTAGGAGAAATAAATCAATTTAAAATATGATTTGAATACTGTGTTAGTTTTCTAAAACACTTATTTGTATTAGTCCATTACTGATAAGCTCCCGTGATAAAAGTGGTCATCCAACTCTGCGAGAACCGAAATGGGGTAGTACAAAAGGTGAAAGTTATTTTTTAGGCTCAGAGGCTTATAGGATATGAAAAAACCTCAATGGAACTATCTGAAGGTAGTGATGTCAACACATCATAGGTATCTGATGTATTTATTCAAATGAAAATGTAGGGTCAAAACATTTATATACAGTGGGGTCCATATGTATGGAATACATTCAGTTTTAGCGTTATTATGAACTATGTGAAAAAAACCTGAAACAGGTCGATGTTTATTCTTGAATTGACAATTTACAGTATGAAAATATTATCCCCTCCAGCACCCCTTCTGAATTATAAGCACCCCCTCGAAAATTTTAAATAGCAAAGGGGTCGTGTGGCACCTTGTTGGAAAGGGATTTTAGTCCTCTGTTCAGCAATATAAAGTTTTCTAAGTTTGGTGTAATCATAACTGAGAAAATTAATTTTTACAATTAAATTAAATGTTCAAAATGACCACCATTATTCACTTCTTGACAATAAACTGATCTATTAAACAGACCATCCCTGTAACACGCTCCTTACTAACCTTGAATCCTAGAAAAAATCTTTGAAGATACTAAAATATTAGATAAAAATCCAAATAAACAATTGATATGAATCTAGTAGGCTGCTGTTATTTAGGTATTTTAAGTTACTAAAAGAAGTCAGTATAATATTTGTGGGCGTATTAAATTTAATTATGGCTCATTTGTCCGAGACTCAAAGAATAGACATTTTAATTATGATTGGTTGTGGTAATAAAACAAGAACTCAAAAGGAGGTTTGTGAAATTTTTAATAATAAATACCCTGGTCAACACATGTCACAGTCTACAGTTAGCAAAATTGAAAAAGTTTCGTGAAACTGGACATGTAAAAAATATTGGAAAACCAGGTAGAAATGTTCAATTTACTGATGAAAAAAAGTTAGATGTACTTCTAGAGATTGAGGAAAATCCGCATAAGACAACTCGAGAACTTGCCGCCGACAATGATGTAAGTAAATCATCTATTTTGAGAGTTTTGCATAAAGAAAAATACCACCCTTACAAAGTTCAGGAGTTAAATGAAGATGATCCTGATAGAAGGCAAGAATTCTGTGAATTCATGATGGACAGAATGAACGCAGATTTGCAGTTGATAAACAAAATAGTGTTTTCTGATGAAGCGACGTTTCATTTAAACGGAACAGTTGACAGACAGAACTGTAGATATTGGAGCAGAGAAAATCCTCACTGGATGTCTGCGACTCACACTCAATATCCTAAAAAAGTTAACGTTTGGTCTGGTATCATTAACAATAAAATTATTGGCCCTTATTTTTTTGAAGGCACTGTTAATGGTGAGGTTTATCTAGATTTTTTGATTAACTTTTTAGTGCCTGCATTATAAATACATTTTCTTGATGTTAATCATCCAAATGAGATAGATCGAACTATTTACTACCAACAAGACGGAGCTCCACCACATTTTGCACGTACAGTTAGAAATTATTTAAACGACGTTTTTCCCAACAGGTGGACTGGAAAACGTGGAACGATCGAATGGCCGGCTAGATCCCCCGATTTGACCCCTTCTTACGGGGTTATTTAAAATGTGAAGTATATTTTAATAGACCAAACAATATTGCTGATTTACAAGTTAGGATAATGGAAGAAATTAACAAAATACCTCCGAGGTCATACAAAATGTTGTACGAGAATTCCAAAATCGCCTCGGTTATTGTCAAGATGTTAATGGTGGTCATTTTGAACATTTAATTTAATTGTAAAGTATATTGAAAAATACATTGTGAATATTATGTGGCATTATTATCTTTATTCTACGTAAAGTTTTGTGATACCTAGAGACATTATCAAAATTTTACACCCTAAAAATCGATTTTCTCAGTTATGATTGCACCAAACTTAAATAACTTTATATTGCTGAACAGAGGACTAAAATCCCTTTCCAACAATGTGCCACACGATCCCCTTTGCTATTTAAATTTTTCGAGAGGGTCCTTATAATTCAGAAGGGGTGCTGGAGGGGATAATATTTTCATACTGTAAATTGTCAATTCAAGAATAAACATCGACCTGTTTCAGGTTTTTTTCACATAGTTCATAATAACGCTAAAACTGAATGTATTCCATACATATGGACCGCACTGTATAAGTAAGTATTTCTTCCAATAATTTACTGTTTAAATTGTGAAAGCTGTCAGGAATATTGGAGAATGTGAATGACAAGGTCAGAAAATGAATCCTACTATTTGATACGTATATATTTTTAATTTTTCCTTTGTTTCCTAGCGAAAAATTGCAATGAAACTACAGAATCGTTTTGAAATTTCGAAGTTGAAGGTGGCTCAAGTTAAAAGATACTTTGTGAAATTTTTCGTGGCGGAGTATAAACAAATGTCCAATACCTTTCAGTTGTTGGTAATCATCTATCTTATAAAAATACTCACATTTTTCAATATTCAGTCTTTTCTTTTCTCTCTCCGCAACGCCCGTTATCACTTCCGTATACTCATTACTGATATCACTCCTGGTTGCAAGGGCCTTGATCGGGTTCTTGGTAGCACCTCTTCTTCTTTGTACTTGTATGTTCTTTTTAGTTACCAATAGAGAATGTCTTTGAACGGCGTCCAGATCTTCGGAGGACAAAACAATGTGCTCCATGTTACTAGACTTCTCCACACTTTTGAAGAACGATTGGAAGGTGACATCATCTGGATTGTGTACGGAGACTTTTCTACCAGACAACTTTGTTGGTGATGGTGAACCTAAAAATTAGACAATTCTGAAGAGCTTCTATTTCACCAAAATTTACTTTAGTTTTGAAATTCTATGGAAATGTTTACTTCAAAAAACTCAAAGAATAGTTTGGGGCATAAGGAATCAGAGTGAAATATAAAAGGAATAAATATTAAATAATCTGCAAACTGTAAACAGGCAGTGCAAGTTTCTTGGCAGAAGTATTTCTTTTTTCCCAGAACAAAGTACTGACTCTCGATGCGCGTTTCGCTAGCTTTTATATCAGGAGTTTATTAAAAACAGTTTTCAGTCATCTTCTGATGATGCTAACGAAATGCGCATTGAGCACTTTTGTTCTGTTGTGGAAAAAGTGTTTTTATAGACTTGTTATGAGATGATAATCTTGAAAAATTTCAAAAATATATTTGGAAATATATTGAAAAATATATCTGTTTGAAATACGTTTTTCCATTAACCAGCTGTTGCACCCCCTACGAAAGACAACCCTCAGAAGTCGAAACTTGTGCGAGCTAAGGATTAACGAGATCTTACCTTTCAACGTGTGATTCATAACAAGGGTTGGACGATAGCAAGTGAAAACCGATCATTCAAACTTGGGCTTGAACCACCGACCAACACGGCAGTCAATTCGAATGAGTGAACAAAGCACCCACGCCAAACCGCCTGGCTACCGACAGACCGACCAAAATGGATAGTAATGAAAGTTCCGGAGTGGTGTACTATATCATCCTTCCATAGGCTTGAATTCGATATATGGACAACGCATTTACAATATTTGCCACAAATAAGTTGTTTGTATCCATGGTAAATTCGAAAACCTTTCCAGACACTGGATTAAAATATTCAAATACAACACATTTTAATTACAGACAGCTGGTATGAACTTATGTTTTTTTTTCTGATTGATTCGGCCGTTACTTGATGAAGATCCATAGTAATTTCAAAAACTACCCCTTACGATTTAATCTCCACAAACTTATGTACCCCGTTATACTTTATTTTCATCAACTCTTATCTGCTGCTATTAATAATGTATTATCTAAAAAATATTTTTTCAATGATTATTACATAATTCAACATGTAATGAAACGCGATTTTTTTACATTTGTTATATGCTTATTGCATTTAGAAAGAAAAAAATAAGTGGACTAAGTAAGTACATATAACTTACTTTTGCACTCCGTTTAAGCGCTCCTATAATTTTGTTTATCGGACATTATTTTGCATAAATGGATAATGTGAATAAACTTTATATTTTTATAACATTGTATTGTATATTTTTTTTAATAACATTGATATGTTTAATCAACTACAAATTAGTTTGCTAAACATCTCCTCGTCGATACCTAATATCTACTCTGTATAATAAACGAATAATATTCATCATTATTACCAATAGTTCCATGTGTGTGTAATAATGAGTTAGTAAAAATACTATATGAATACTATTATTATTAAAAATAGTTGTAAAAAAATGAGAATTTTACCTGATAAGTCACTATTTGCAATAGGCGGGAAAGGTACGGATTTGCTTCTTGTGAGATCAAAATAGCTATTTTTTTCTGGAGAAGTTGGTGTCGAATCTGGACCTGCAACATAGTTATAACAAAATACTTGGCACTACACCTTCATAACTTTGAGAAAACTGCACAAAATTATAAAACCTACTTCTTATGACATATGACATTATGGTTTATTAAATGTACTGGAAATACAAATCAAATATTTTTCTATGTAAGAAACCTGCTGTCTTAATCTTATCTACGATTTCATATCTATCCTAATGTCATACAATTCCTGTTAGTCGTTTTTTACCGGTTTTTTTTTGTTGAAAAGTAAATATTTTGCGGCAACGACTCTCGAAGGTAAAAGCAAGTAAAACATTAATCTTTTTTTATAAGATTATTGTTTCATCTAGATCAATTCGCAGCACTCGAGTATCATCAATATATCAAGTTATATTATCTCATGGATAACAAGATGTGTATACAGGGCGTCTTCTAACTACGGTACGAAACTTCAGAGGGTGACTTGTTAGGTCGTTTCAAGAAAAAAAGTTCTTACGAACATATCTCCGGAGCTGCTTGGTTTCTGAGATACAGGGCGTTGAAGTTGAAAAAACGGTGTTTATAAAATATCATAAATATCCTCATACCGATTTGGTTGGAATTTGCAACAGTTATTTGAAGTAATAAGGCGCTCATTGAGCCCTAACTAAATACTGGAAAAAATTGGGAAAAAATACGCCACTGATTTGTTGTAGTTTTTAATTTTTCTAGATCAGTAAACTAAAAATGCAATTTTTTCGTCGCCTGTGTTTTCTTCATATATAGCTTCGTTTATGAAAAAAATAATTGCAAATCATGAACACCTGCTTTGGAAACCAGCTGACAGTGGTAGAGTTATCAATTATCAGTGATTCCATAGTGGATAATTTTAATAACGCTGAAATGACTGACTGCACTTTATTTATGGATTAGCAAATGTAAATGCAGAAGAAGAACGGAGAATTCACCAGGACAGATATCCTAACAAAATGATTTTATGTGCTCAAACATTTAGAACGCTACATGTAGGATTAAGTAAAACTGAGAGTTTTATTGAAATTGCAGGTGGTGGAAGATCAGAAACTGTAACAACTACTGAACTAGAAGCTATACTTAATGCGATAGAAGAAGATTCTTCAAATAGCACCTGGAAGACTGCACTGTAGCTCAAAGTCAGCTCAAAAACCGTATGGACAGTTCTAAAAAGAAACCCCATTGATCGTGAGTCGGGTGCACTACCACCGTGGCCGCGATAAGTACATCAACACTGTTTCAAGATGTCATTTCGAAAGACTTTGAAATTATCTTTGTGATCTTTAAATTTCGTAATTAAAATAGTTCTGAGAAAATTAAATTTTGAATTGTTTGGCTGCTTACTTCCTTCTCAGTTATTTAAAAGTTTCAATTGATGATCACCCACGTACATGCAATAATAAAGACTGTTTAGATACAAATACTGACGAACATCAAGACAAACCAATATTCTCTATGGGGTTAGATTGTTCTTCAAGGATACCAGACATGTTGTCTCTTGATTTCTTTTTCTGAAGTTACTCAAAAAGTAAACTCTTTACAAATCACTATAGACGATTTCAGTCAATCAACAGAATGCCTGTTTCTTACAATTATGAATATTCAGGATATATTCAATATTGCAGTTCATTCAAGAAAAGGGTGACAAATGTGATTTGAATTTACAGTGAAGGTAAATATGAATTGTACGCTGTGGGACTTGAATCGACTTGGGTTTTGAATGGTGTCCAAATACAACGAATTTATGATTCAACACCAGACTGCACTATTTCGACTCGCAAACGGTATCATCAATGCTGATAGATCATCTATGGGATCAACAGAAAACTCAATTTTGGAATATCAAAGATAAATGAGGCTCTCCAAGGTGTTTAGTCGCAAAGTCAAGCTTCGATATCGACCGCCGAAAAGATTCGTCCTCTGTCTTTCACTGCGAAGCAACTACTTGGAAACCAGAGCTCAAACACCAACGAGAATTTGCTGAAATATAATAAAGGACAAACTAAAATGTTCACCATGAAAAGTTACTGTGTAATATAAACAACTGAAGCGGAGCATATTTCAAAATCAACCAATGATCAATACAATGCGAGTGAAATGAAAATTGTCGCCAAAGCACCTCACAACAAAACAAAAAAAGTCAAATAATCCATATATATTCTTTCAGCTGGTAACAAGTGCATTTTGAATAGTTCTGTGGAAATGGATCTTACTGGTTACCATTGATAAGATGAAAAGTTGAAAACGAAAATTTAAAACTAAACTGAACTATCAGAAAACATCCTGTATGTGTTAGACTATCAAAAATGACATCATGAGATTTCATTCTTTTGACGTTTGTCAAAGGAAATAAACCTGTTTCCATCTGAGGTGCTTCATTACAAGTGAATTTCTTTGGGTTTTGAGTACGTAAAGGGATTACTTTACGAAACGTTAGCCGTTTCAGAACAGGTAAGTATTAAAATGTTACTTGTAGGGAAAACTGGTAAATACAAATTACTGACAAATTGGACTTTTCAGCGGTAACTATTCCTTTTTTGCACTTCAGCAGTTCATTGATTTAGCTTTATTAATTTTTTAGACTGTTGAAGGTTAAACACCCAAAAATATCAACTCCACCACACCAAACTTCTTAAAAAAGTCACATTCTGAAATGTAATGTTTTACAAAATTTTTGAGAAAAATTCAAAATTTTAAAGATCACTTCAAAGACAATTTCAAAAACTTTAAAATCTTACTCGATACCTCATACCAATAAAATATTTTAGGATGAATCTTAACCTCGCTTGGGGGTGCAATACCGATAAAGAGTATCCGAGGATACTCGTCGAGACGAGTCCCTACTTTTTTCGAAAATGTTGACGTCATACCTTGACGATTCTAAATCATTTACGCTTTGTCACCCTGTATTTTTCAATCCTAAATTTGATAAATAAATAGTACAAGAAAACGAAAACTCACCATCTTTCAACTTGAACCTTTTTGGCTGTGGTGTCCTCTTCTTATTCTCATCAGCCATCGGAATATTTATGGTCGGAACGGCGTCTCTGAATTTCTCGCCCATTTTTCCAGCAACGGAAAACTTTTCCGCGTCCGATTTCTCCACCCGGGTTTTCCATTGTCTGGCAGAAGCGTCCAACTCATCCTTCTTAGCGGCAAGAAGGGATTTTTCCGATAGTTCGTCCTGCCGATTAGAAGAACGACAAAGTAAATAACACAGTATACACCAAAGAACAGTTAACACCAAAAGGTACATTTCGACAATGCCCAAAACTGTGTATAAATAGTCGGTTCCCGCTCTGCGGGTGAGATACCACCTATTTGGACGTATGCCCGAACCGAACTATTTTGATTCGGTTTGAATGAATAGTGTGCACTTATTCCAAATGGTGAAGCATTATTCACGACATGTGGATGAGTCAACGAAATGCTGATTAGGTCTTTTATCGAAGTTCTCGAGTACAGATAAATTTATATCTCGGTTTTCAAATACCGGATGGGGGAATTATTAAAACAAAAGTCCTTTTTTCTTCTCATACAGTTTGTCGCAATTACCTCAAATTTCCCATTTCGATTTTTTCAGATTCAATAAAAACATACAACTGTACAACCGCTTATGGTACTACAGAAACGATTTCTCAAAATTATCTATAATTTAAATTTTAAATACTACTAAGAAATATAAGCACTGAAATGTTTTTGCCCGAGTATCTCAAAATACCATCTTCAAAGGAAATAATTTCGATATTTATGTTTCGCAGACAAGTTTTCCACAAACTTAAGTGAATCATTAATACCTATGTTTCCTCTAATAAAAATTCAATATGACTCGTTTTGACAAACCTTTCCTTATATCTATATTAATCGCCCATTTTTTCTATTGTAAGCTTTTATAAATACATGTGAATTGGTGATTAATAAACTACTACTACTATATCAATTTTCACAAAACTATATTCGCATCATCACATATATTAAGAGGTAAATTTTCGTGTTTTTTTTTGTTAATTTGAAAACGGTTGATTTGTTAATTTTTATCAAGTTTCAGAAAAACGCTGCAGCCTTATTTTTTTCTCCCATCTGTTCATGTTAACAACAATCTTGTTTCCTGTATCACTGTACAAATCCTAGATGTTCGTCATTTTCTTCTGGACGTATTTTCGATTGCCTATAAATTGCTTACCTTCCTGTGATCCAGAATCTCATATTCGCATAAAATATGGCAAGCTGTATCTGCGTCTTTGTTGCATTGCCAGTAGCTAAGGTCTCCATTATACAGCCCTATTTTGTTCGAGGTTCCTCTCAATAGACAGTATCCAGTATGTAGCCCTGTAATTATTCTGAGCTGATCTCTTCTCTGTTGAAACAGTTCTTCAGTTCTTTTATCAGACATCCCCTTTATAAAGGTTATCCCGAGTGTGTTCGCAGGAAGATTCACAGGAATACAGCTGGGTCAGTTGATGATCCGTTTTAGTACACTTATCATATTTTTTGTTGTCTCCCGAGTATCTTGGCACCCATTACAGATTCAATCCAGTTTCTTCATTCATTTACGATGTTCCCAGATAAGTCTTGGTCGCTCTTGGGTTCCGTAAGAATATTAAAGAGTGTTAAGATTACTGTGTCAAAACCATTTTCCAGGTTTGTCCGCCGTGGTCTGTAGGTTTTCATGCCTGACATTTTGCCAACGATTGCAGTAGACATCATCAAAGACAATGAGGTAACGACCAAAGTGCTCTAGTTGTTCTCTTAGGTTTTATCCTATTGGTGGTAGACGTGGCTTCGTTTCTATTGGTTGCATCAATTGACCTGATACCCGTATAATTAAGTGCAGGTAGCCAGACTCTATTCATGGTAATTACCTCTTTCTTTCGGTTGAAATTGTGTCTGGGTCTCTGTAAAGTCTTGGATATAGTAATTCTGAAGTCTATCTTGAGTCCCTTCAAAGGCGATAACGTGCATGTTCTGCCACTAGTGGTATGTATAGTCGAAGTAACCGATACAGTAATTCTTAAAGCTATTGGCGAAGTCGAAGGCCAAAAAAACAATACAAAGAAATAATGCCGCTACGAATTAGACCACGTGGATTGAAGAATTGGCGTTTCGTATTGGATAATTTTTACTAGCCGAGTTTTATGATTGGCTGAAGAGTCATAAAATTAAATTTGAAGTCATGTTACGGTGACCAATAAAATGTGAGGATGGTTAGAAGAGTCGTGTTGTCAATGTTCAGTTCAGGAACTGATCGCGATTTGAGTATAATTACTTAAAAAAAAATTATTTGTTTAAAATGTGGCGGCCTTGGACAAGTACTAATAGTAATAACGAGTGTGATAAGAACGCAGACTTTTTTCTGTGTAGTGATTCCAATAGCGCTGGTGAACAATGCGAAAAAGAGATACCAGTGAATAAGATTCGGATGCATTTGAATATTGAAACAAAGAGAGTATGTTTCAATGTATATAAGAATGTATATAAGAAAAAAATTATTACAAGCAACATCAGATTTGACCGAAATTCCTTTCTCAACTGTACGTAAAATAGTCAAAAACAAACCTTGTGAACGCAAGACGCGATTTGATGCGGGATTACCAAAACCTTCAGATGTTCATCTAATAAAATCATTAAAAAAACAATGGACGACTGTTACAAAAACAATGAGATTCCTACAATTGAAATCATAAGAAAGAAATTGAATACTTCCGTCCATAACGTGAGCTGCTGTGACAAAACTCTTTAGAATTGGATAAAGAAACTAGGATTTAGATTTAAAATAATAAACAAACGTCAAGCAGTTATGGAAAGCAGAAGAATAGTGGAATTGCGTAAAAAATACATAGAACGAATAACTAAATATAGACAAGAACAACGACAAATTTTCTATTTGGACTAACTTGGTATGACACTCAAGACACAGTTACGAAAGGGTGGACTGATGGTTCGAGAATGTGTACGTCTAACATGCCTGCAAACAAAGGATCGCGACTGATAATTGTGCATTGCGGAGGAAGTAAAGGATGGGTTCCGAATTCTTTGAAACTATGTGGAAAAAAATTTGAGGACTGCAATGTTGACTATCATAAGAACATGAGAGCTAATATTTTTGAGGAATTGTTTGAAAACAAATTGATCTCAAATTTGTATGCGAATAGTTTAATAGTTCTTGACAAAGCTTCCTATCATTCCCAAAAGCTCATCAAAGTAACTAATAAAAATTCAAGGAAATATGAAATACAAAGTTTTCTAATAGATAACAATTTGTATTTTGAAGATAACTATACCAAAAACCAACTACTTGAAGTTTTACAGACAAACACATTTGAAAAAGTGTATGCCCTTGAGAGTATTGCTGAAAAGTATGGACACACCATATTGAGACTTCCCCCCTATTTTTGTATTTTCAATCCCATCGAATTGATTTGGGAAAAATTGAAACAAAGCATCAGGTGTAAAAATGATTTTTCAAAATTTGATAAGATGATAGAGCTAGTTAAAGAAGAAGTATATAATATTACCGAAGAAGACTGGCAGAAAAGGATTAAAAAAGTAATTTAAGTTGAAAAAGACTATATATATGGAGATTGGACACTTCCATATCAATGGTGGAAATACATTCCTTATTGATTTAAATGACGACAGTGCTAGTGAAACGGAGAATATGGAAGAGGAGAAGGAGGAGGAGGAGGAGTGTTTTTGAAGTGATCGATTGTATATACAGGGTGTAACTAAATAAGTGTAAAACATTCAAGGAGGTGATTCCTCATCGAAAAAAAGACAGGATCTTTTATATAAAGAAATTTCATTGGAGCATCCCTTGTTAGGATACAGCTCCTTAAAGGGGGTACATAAAATTTGTATAACAATTTTTTTCACAAGCACTAAAAAAGTTACAATATTGAAATTGACCTGCTAATGTTGTATTACCAAAAAGTCACTTAGCCAGAAATTTATTTGGTTTACCCCATGGTTGTAAGGGGTGGAAAACGCAACCCCTAAAATTTATTTCCAATGTAACTTTTGGTCTTATTATTTGTTTACCATTTAAAATTGATTTCCTGTTCATTCTAAACAAAAAATGTCTCTTGGGTTTTTTGTCCAGAATAAACCAGTTCGCAGTAAAAAATTATTTTACGAACAACTACAGAGATACATCGTCATAAATGCGAAAATACGAAACTAATGTGTTTAGTAGGTCGCTATTAGCGATAGTGACAATTAAATTGGTATGACGCTGTCAGTTTGTGAATATTCGAAATTGAATCAATACTAATTGTGTGTTGTTGTTCTGTTCTTAATTTGTTACTTCAATAATTCACTGGTTATTAAAATGGCATACACAAATGAGGAAATGGCTGATATGCATTACGTTTACGGTCTGTCGCAGGGAAATGGGTTAAAAGCTTCTAGAAGATATGCTGAAATGTATCCTCAACGACTTCATCAACAATTAGGAGAATATGGTTCATTCGACAAAATAACTCAGGATTGTGGTCGCCATCGAGAAGTACGAACACCACAGCTTGAGGAAGCAGTACTCAATTTGGTTGAAGAACAACTACCAGTACTAGAAAGATTGCTTTCCAGCTAAACGTTGATCATATGACGGTATATCGAATTTTAAAGGAACAGCTATTATACCCTTACCATCTGCAACAAGTACAGGCACTGTTACCGCGAGACTTTCCCAACCGTCTTGAATTATGCAATTGGATGCTGGAAATGATTAGAAGAAATTGTGACTTTCTGAAGACGATAGAATGCACAGACGAATGTAGTTTTTCTCGGGACAAGATTATTAATTTTCATAATTACCACATATGGGCTGATGAAAACCCT